AAGTCAAACTGATTGTACCTGTTTTAATTTATGTTCAGGTGGTAGTTTGTCAGAGATTTAATACAGATCATGTTTCATAAGCAATCTGTGCTCGCACAAATCATAAGTGATAACAGGCATACATAAATGATAAAAGCAACTTTTGAGCATATCCATATCTTATTTTAATTAAAGTGTCCACGAAAGCTTTTTATCTACTATCTGTAGTTTACAAAATCATTGCTAAACAGACAAAACCTGTACAAGTGTGTTAAGTTGTTACAGTGTATATCTGATTTGACAGTTGATTATCGTCTTGTATATAAGCCGAGCTCGATAAACAGAAAGTTCCTCATGTTTATTTATAGTACGGAAAAGTCCATCTTATTACTATGTAGGTAAATTAAATGTTAAATTGTAATAAATGTCGCAGTAGCTCCGTGGGTAGAGCACTTTGTTCAAGAAGGAACCTACTTCATGGGAGAAGGGTAGCCAGTCTTCAAAAAAGGGTGTTTTTTGTTGTTGTTTTATTAGTTTTTTATTTAATTTCCCTTCATGTACAAACCTACATAATGATTACACGTTTTGTTGTTGTTTGTTATTGTTTTATTAATATTACTTTTTAATCGATGTATCCTCATCCTATCTATTCAAATTTCTCTTTTTTTCCATTTATTATTAAAATGTATGAATATTATAACAAATTTTAAGAGAGATGTTCATTCCGGTTAAAAAACGAAAAAAAAACACTGCATCTTAGTAATGTTAATTTTTTTTTTTAAACACATTGTTTAGAAATAGGCTCGCCTGATGTAAAATTATTGCTTTCTTGTGAGCTTTTAGATATAAATAATAACTATGTGAATAAAGTATCCACTCCAAGTGCAATGATGGCTTTTCTCATGTGTTTGTTTTCATAAAAGATACATATGGTTATGATGTTAGAATCTCATCAATAGTAATTAAGAGATAGAAATTCTTTGAAGATATTTTTGTTATTATCGCACAGTGATTCTTTGTCCTGAAATAATTGTTTGGTTAGCACAATCTCCTTACGCTTTCATTTCAAAAGTTAGGTCAAATTGAACCAACAAAGTCTTATGTATCCCTAATTTAAAAAAGAATTGTAAAATGACTATTCTAAACCCCTTCTCTAAATTATTTCGACAAACGAACTTAGAATGAGGTTAAAGGAATAATCAAACGGTAACACTAAACAGTGCTATTTTCTTTTTCAACGATAACTTACAGAATGATGAAAGAAGACGTCATGATGGTGCACGTGACACGGAGGAGTACAGTGTTATTGGCATGAAACAATTTAAATATTGATTTCTTGTCCGTAGCATAACCTGTGCACCAATAAAGAAATGATTTGTACTTAGCATTGACATACTCGGAACCTAGAAAACAGTGTATTTGAAACACAAATAAGGCGGCTTTAATATTTAACTTATGAACACAGCTCCAGATTAAATGAGCACTTAACATGATTTTCATCTTCTGAACTATTCGTATCCATCCAAATGCATCGAAATGTCGTGCCAGTGAATAGATCAGTTTAATTATGATATCTTTAGTTGTTTCCATGTTGTTAGTTGCAGCATGATCAATTTACCCAACCCAAAGGTAAACAAATAATTCGACTCTCATATACTTTATAATTCTGTAAAAAAAGCGCTAAGATTTTAGAGAAAGTTATGGATTTATGTTCACTTTTTAAGGAGTTAAAATTTATAACCTAGCAGATTGTATTCGAATATGAACTAAAATAGATGAAATGGAGTCCTTAAGAATAAACTGTTAAGAAAAAAAAGTAGTATTTTTTTTTGGTTAATTTTATGGCATATGCATTAACCATATGTTACTGATTTCAAAGCACTGTTGACAATTTACATAATAAAACAGAAATATATTAAAGGGAAACCACCTATGAAGATATCAAACAGTATAAGGAACAGATCGATGAGCTTTTATTGTAATTATAACATGAACATTTTCTCGTCTCTATCCAAGCAAATATATCAGCGTTGGCTTTCTTATATCGGACCAATATCTATTCAATATTAATATTAGTATGACATCGGTCCAATTTATCTATTTTTGACTGAATTGTAAGTAAACATGATAATATCAAGGAATTTTTCCGAATGTAAACGCGTTGAATCATTGGACGGATCTTTTTCGTAGATTGTACAAAAATATGTACTTACCAACGCTCTGTACAGCCGGGCACGCTTACGTTGGCGTAAAAAATTAACAGACTGAGGATAATTCCCGGACAGTTTTAATACTGGTTATCTTCTTAAACCCTTTCCTGCTTTTGGATTTTGTGAAAAAAGGCAGTTTTCATTTAACAGTCTCCTGTCACAAGTTCAAACTGCTGGAAAACTATCAAATAAAAATAAAATAAAAAACTGCTGAAATACTTAGCACAAATCTTAACGGAACCATAGCCTTTGAAGTTTGTTTGATTGTTTGTTCATTTGACGCCTTTTCCCAACAGTATTTCAGTCATATAGGCGGGTAGTTTCCTAACCATCGTTCCTGGAGAGTAACTCCAGTCCTAGACTACCTTCCTCCGTGCTAAACTACCAAATCATCTCCCGGGGATCGAACCCACGCCAGAGAGGTAACTGGATTAGAAGTCATCGACTGTAACCCCTCGACCACGGAGGCGGTCATAGCCTTTGTAGTGCCATGTTCAATCTTAAATTTGCTGCTAAAATAGCAACGGGGGACATATAAAAAACACTGTTTTGCGTTTTCCATCAAAACTGATTATAGTGCTGCAACTTGTTAATAGATTAAGAAAGAGGCAAAGGCTTTTTCAGCGTCGGCTTCACGTTTCGTTTAGAATGGCCTGTGGCCATTTTATCCTCTCACAAATCCAAAATATTCCCGGCGATGAGGGCAACAGCCTCCTTTTAATTCCCAAAGTTGAAGGGGGCACATCGTTCCTCTGGCAACCCCTTGATGTACCTTTGTGACATAGGGCGGCGCCGAAAATGTGATCACTTTTTAACAACATTCCTCTTACGACAACAAGTGTTTGGGGTCTAAAATAGGGTATTTTTGCACTATTTGAGGCCTCAAAAAGGGGTTCGGGGTGGGCTGAAAAAAAAAAAGTAAAATTTTGAGGCGCGTGATTTGTTGAAGAGCAATTCATTTATGTGGTGAAAATTCAAGTACTGTTGTTATGTTTAAGGTGTTTATGTTTCCATCAAAACTATTTAATATCGCCTCACGCACTAATAGCACCTGCTTTAATGGTATTCAATCTTACTAACGTGCTGCAACCAACGCTCCTGAAAAATTATAAAAATATAACAGCTCTAAAGTGAAGTACGAGGCAACCTTAACAACTGCCACATCGAACTAGACACTTCTTGTGGATCTTTTAGGACTTACACTCGGACTTTTCGCCTTATTCATAATCTTTTTAGATCATTGTTATGATTACATAATAAAAATTCCATTTTCCGTTTCCTTAACAGTTTGTTTTATGGCAATAAAAATACATCTTGATTTTGTCTAACAATATTCTTATTTTCAATATGTTAACCAAAACATTTTGAAGTGTTTTACCTATAACACAAACTTCTTAAACAATGAAAAATAACTTTTTTATTAAAAATTTTTATGACAAAGATACATTCTTCTCAAACATTTTGTAAGAAGTATTGGATCAGTATAAATTTTTTTTCGAATATCATGTTTTACGACCTTCTACTGATACATAATAACATAAAAAAATGTTTGTCTATCTGAAAGAAATTTAATTAATTACCAGGTTCTTTCAAACACAAGGTGATATTTTTTCAATGGTTTATTATCGATGACTTCTATCAGACCTTTTCACACATTTGATTGGTACAAAAGTTATTGACCCGACATTTAGGAAGTTAGCGTTTTTAAAATAAGTCAATCGGTTTTGATACGATGCAATGCTACGTTGGGGCTAATCATTTTATCAGTATATTTTTATCAAAAGACTTACATCTTTTGAAATATCATACGACTGTAAATAGAAAACAAGTGTTGGGTAAATAATAAAAAGCATATGTCAAATATAGCCTTTATCAAACAAGGAACTGTACGGTTTATAGCATCAGGGTATGAGGATTACTCAAAAAGTCGTCAGAGGATATATTCTTAAACTATTTATTCATATATATATGTAGATGTATGGTCATGTTTTAGCTTCATTTTTGCATATTATTTTAAACATATAATTAAGTTAATGGTTATGAACATTGCTAAAAGACATTCGATTGCAATTTAGGTTTAATGTATATTCTAAGAACGTTTGGTTGATCTGTTAATTATTATTAAACTATAATTATACATTTTAATGGCAAAAAAAAAATGAAAGAAGTGATATTTTGACGTTGGTTCTGTATTACCGGTTTAGTTCTGTATTGCCGGTTAAATATAAACAAAACACTTATTTATCTAGTTTTCAAAATACACACACAATAGTTTTCCTTTGACACTAAACAAAACACGAAAAAAAAAGAAATTATTATTATTTCACAGTCATAGGCTTTATAAGCTATAGCATCAAACCACATTTCATAGGCACTATAAAATAAATTGTTAACCATATTGGATGATATATAATGGTTGCATTTGATAACTGACTAAAACTGTTAAATTAGTCACATTATTTATGCCTGTGAAAATATAACAGCGTAGGAATACATTGCGTGCCGTTATTATACCATACCGTTTAACGACGGCTAATAATTCATGATATGATAATAATAATAATAATAACAATAATAACAATAATAATGATAATAAACAAAAACAAAAGACAATATGGGTTTGTAGCGAAAGTTACGATAAAGTTTTCAAAAAAAAAAACAACAAAACAACAAAAACAAAACACATTTTGAACAGCCCATTATTTTTATGCCTATTTCCGCGTTTTAAAAAAAACAAATCTAGTGTCTACCTATATTTCTGCAGGTATAAAAGTACGAAAACGGCTTTCTTTGACATTGCTGTAGCAACTCTTTCCATGTCTATATATTTACAACTTAAAAGGCAGAAAAATAACTTCGACTTTAATTATTAAGTTATAAAAGAATGTTTCTTTCAAATGCTTGCTTGTTTATACTTTTATTTATTTCTTATGCAAAGGCTTCACATTTTCGTGGCGGGACTATCAGTTGGAGCGCAACCGGAAAACCAAATGAGGTATTACCCTTACACAATTTCACTTTTAAATAAATGTTTGCTCAGTATAAACATTGGACAAACTGACAAACTGTAAAACAATCGTTTCAATTAAAAAAAACTTTGTTTTGTCATAATTATATTCTTGTTTTTGTAAGTAAAAGCTAAATATCTTACAGCATCCACATCATTTTATTTGTATTAAAGTTTACAATTTAACGACTTAGGATTTTTCATAAGGTTTATTCAATCTGATTCGTTGCATATTATTAAAGGGTTAAAAAATAGCAGTAAAGATACATGTTTATTAAGAATATAATTATTTATTACATTCATTTCAAGGTTGAATTTACTTTCAAACTTGGTTGGGTACTCGGTATGGGGCCGGGATGTAACGAAACTATGATCGGAAAGTACGTTAATAAAATGGGCAATTCTTCAGCGTGGTATTGTTCAAGGGTATGTTTCTTTCTTTTTTCTGTTGTTTTATTTGTTGTTTTGTTGGTGGTATCTTTTCTATTCAATCTATGTTAGCTTTTCGTATAGTATTTAAAGACCTCTGCAACAAAACTTTCTTTGCACTAACAAAATAAACATAATGATTGCGATTACATTAGGAATAATAAAATGAAAGAAAAAATCATTATCTTGTCACTTACCAATGTAAGTTGAATTTTTTGTTTTGTTTTAAACATTAGTGTATTTATATGTACTGTAAATGAAATAAAGGTTAACTCTTATTGAAAATAAGCACTCAATCATAACTAAAGGTTACGTATTTTAAATGATCGCAAATTACACAGTTTACACTTTTGTTAGTCAATAAGTTGCACATTACTGCCATCAAGTAAGATAAACTACTTTTAAATCAAAGGCCACGTTAATGTTAAATGTTTGACGATAGAGTTTAGTTTTTTGTACAAATAGGGATGTGGACCAACAAATGTTTGGTTATCAAGTGTAAATTATATTTGTACGGCAGCAAGCACGGCACAGAACTGGGAGCAAGGGGAAAACAGCTTTAAATATACCTTTCCCGACCAAGGACCATTCACTGTCGAGTAATGTCTTTAAGTTTTTCAACAATGAACATCGGGGTTTAACATTTCATCATTTGAATAAATGATTTCTGTTTTTATTGATAAATGAAATATGTCACTAGATCAACTTTTAAGTTTAAACAATAATTCTTAATCAATCAAAAGTTAATATATTAATTATCGACTGTTTATGATTACGTAACCCAAATTTTTGTATGTAATAATTCAAGAAACCTGAAAAAAAAAACAGAAGATTTTTATGTTGACAAATAGTTATGTTATAACATAGGTAAATCTTAAGATGTAGATAATTTAACTGAGTGATCTAAAGGTTTGATTTCCTACATGTCCTATAAACTTTTTTTTCAACAGATTCACAGGCGGGGCTTGGATTTCCCTTGACTTTGGTGCTGGTGGATCTTGGAATATTTCTACAGTTGTGGACCTTCGACCTCGGAATGACACGGGACGACCAAATATGAGTCCTGTTGCGTCAGCAAAACCAATTTACAGGCAAAATCTCTAATACTTATTATTAAAAATCGACTTAAATGTTTGGCGTACCGTTTTGGTAACTTTTTATTCTAAGTAAACATTTTCTATCTAGAATACAGTAATCACAAGTGTGTCTATTAATTTCAGCCTTTGTTACTCTTTGAAGAGCCGATATGGATACTAAATCGGTGTCTTAAACATATCATTGCTTTTATCGAAATTTGATTAAAACAGCTGAAAGCTATTATAGTTACCTGTATGTTCACAATTATTTAATTAGTATGAAGTACGGCTGTACAAATACGATACAGTTACCAGTGATGGATCAAGATGGTGACAAAGTCACATGCAGATGGTCAAAGGGCGAAGAATGTGCCTCCGTTTGTAACTCTTTACCGTATGCCATGATTGATCCCGTAAGTTTTATTTCTGTACATTTCACCATGTCATCTCTAACTGACAGCACTTAATACTTTACATTTATATATGGCAAAAAACGTTGTTTAAAAGTGGCTTACATCCTTGGAGTTTGACCCATATGACTGATTATTTTGAATACGTCAAGTGGGAGATACTGTCATTAAAATGGTATAGCAAAACAAATAATTGTATTCTGTTCCAGAAAACGAGGCTAGTTATGATACCGGTATCTTTTAATTTTAGAAAATCAGAATAATATAACATACCTATAGTGGTCTAATCACTGTTTCTATAATCTTAATTATCAATCTGTTCTATTCTACCAACATTGCAGGACACGTGTTCTTTAACAGTTTCGGCAAAACACACGAGAAATGGTTGGTACGCAGTTGCAATCACAATAGAAGATTCTCCTAGACAAGCTTTGTCAGTCAATGATTCAGTTTTGACGGAAGATGACGTTATATCAAGTGTTCCTATGCAGGTATTACGCTATTTGATGTACATTTTTCTAATGAATTTGAAATTTCCAAAATGAAAGTAAGTTGTGAGCCGGACTTTGTATTTTTTTTTATTGAATCCTTAAATTAGTAAGGCAATTAGCACATATTTACGTAGTACGTGTGTGTTCTGTATTACTAAACTAAACTTCAATCAGAAAATTACATCACCTTGCTTACACATTTTAGTTCTTAATTAACACTCCGGACATACCATCAAGATCATGTTCTGATAAACCTGTTTTTGTGACGCCAACACCTCCAGAGGACCAACTGTATATTCTAACGCCTGGTGAAAAGCTATCAATAAGTTTCTATGCGACATCAAAGGGTGCAAGGTTAGTAAGCAAGCAGCAAAGTGGTATGAAAACCGACATAATATGAAAGTTTCAACTTGATCCGTATTACCAATGAAACGATTATTGACTGAACAATCTCAAGGGTAAATACTCTACATATGTTTGAACGTAAGACACTGGATGTACAGTCTTAAATAATTTCTAGACAATTTACTCAGTATAACCACTGAACACTAACATTTCTTAAGTATTTAAGTCTTCCTGTTGAATTATGTGTTTGCATGTGTTTTATATCAATGCTTGTTTTTTTTATCTCGTTTTGAAAATAGAATAACATCGTTCGCGCTTACAGCGCCACCTGGCGTAAGAAAATCGTCTATTCAGTCTGTTCCCGGACGCCCAAATGTTTACAAAATAATAGTTACGTGGGTACCAAAACAGGAAAATAAAGGACAACACGCTCTTTGTGTGGAGGCCACTGATTCATTTGCGTATGTATATCTTAGACTAGCGAATAAAATAACAAATGTTTCATAATTAAATAAAATAACATCAAATAAATTCAGAATACTTTTATTAAATCACATGAAATCCGTCGACAAAATTAGCCAATATGCATAAAACTTTCTTTTCAGTTCCATTTGTTTGACATTGAATTACATTTTTCTTAAACTGAGACATATTATTTTCGCAATATCCTAAACAATATAGTTTGATATATTACCATAAGGATTTAAATCTGTTAAAATATTATAAATGACTGTGCAATCAACGCATTCTCTATGGTTTCTTTAAATACTTTTATCTAAATAACGATATTTCAAAAGCACCTGGATTATTTAAAAGAAATTGATGTGGACTAAGCTTGTCACATTAATTTATATATCTCTTTATTTAAGGATAAGCAGTGACTCGCATTGTTTGAAAGTTGTTGCATGGGGTAAGCTCATCGCATTATTATCTATCAGGAAGTCCTTATAAATTATTTCAAATTTTGATGCACTTGAAGAAATAAACTGACATGTTTTAAATCGCATATCTACTATAATTTATCACTGTTATCTTAATGTTAAAATGACATTATGCTCATGATTGTGTTGTCTGGTTGAATTGATTTAGATATTTATTCAAAAGTTTGCCCTTTTTATTGGAGACTGACCAATAATTGATAAATAGAAATGTTAAAAGATATACTATGCCCTAATTTGATTTTAGAAAATATTGATGACTGATACACAGTCTCTTTGTAGATATAAAATAAGCATGTTTTGGCCTATACACAAATTAAATATGATGTGTTTAAATATTACACACTATAGATGGTCACAATATGAATATTCATTGTCATTTAAGAAAATGGCAGCTTGTTTTAAAGAAAAGACCAGCTTTACTTGACCTGTTATTGCTTCTCATACGTAGTTTTTACATTTCTTTTGTATTTCAAATTAGACATGTTGAGTAAGAATTTAATTGATTTCAATAAATTTCTGTGACAAAACTATTTTACTCAAGGATGAGCATTGTATATCTTTAAGAATATTAAAACTGTCTAATACATCAAGGACTGTACGACTCTTTTTTATGAACTGAGCGTAACTGATCATTTATGAAGGCTTTTTTATAGAAATACGTCAGTTTTTTAATATTAATTACATCTTTAAGTAGAATATGAAAATGAAAAACAATGTTGCAAAATGTAAACTTCTTTAAGTTTTACCTGTACTCTCAACATTTAGAAACGTTTGGATGGGCTAAACGTTTCTTTAACATTACAATATATCATAACCTATAGATGTTTCGTTCACAATTTCCGAATAACAAAAATATAGCCGTGACATTTATTTTCATATATCTATTTATACAAAACGTGATCTCGAAATTTAGATTATAAAGTATTATAACCCAGACAAAAGCCAAAGCATCATAATATCTTTTTTCCTTTGAAGATATTGATCCATGTAAAAGCAGCCCCTGCCAAAACGGAGGAAATTGTACTAGAACAGGATTTACTGATAATTTTGTATGTACATGTGTCCCTGGATACACGGACTTACTTTGTCAAACAGGTATGGTTTGACAGCTGGTATTTGCATACTTTTATAAACAGCACTTGAATGACAAATAGATGATTTTTAAAGATAGATATGTTCTATAATTACTTATTACAATATTTTGCTAATCAAATTCGTACGTGAATGATTAAAAAATAGAACAAAAGTGTACGTCGCCTTGTTGTGTTGATCTCTGACTGATATTTTAGCTTTAGAATTTCTCAAAAGCTCTTACTATTTAGAAGAAGTATGCATTTAATCAAATATGTGTTGATACAAGCGAATGAGACTTAACAAATGTGTGTGATTTTGGAGGCATAATTCTATCTATAAGTACTTTAACTAATATGATATAAAATATCTATATGTTCTAAAGCAAATGTTCTTTCAACACAGCCAGACACATAGCATATTCTTAGCCAGTATTGTAACAAATGTACAACTATATGTCTGTCCAAACCTTAAGCCTTGTTCTTGTCATTTTCAACAGATATTAATGAATGTGCTAGTGACCCGTGCATGAATAATGGCACGTGTTTCGACCTGATCAACGAATTCTTCTGTGGATGTGTTAAAGGTTTTACAGGAGTGCAGTGCGAAACCGGTAAACATTTGACTTATTTGTCGCAATAAAGTTTTCATTACAAATAATATTCATGTCTTTGTCTGTGCTTCTGGAATGTATGTGTACTTATGTTTTATCCTGATGATTAAACTTAATGTATTGAAGACGATCCGAAGATGATTTGAACTTGCTAGTACCCTATCTAACATTACTTATGGAACTTATAAATATATTATTATGTAAATGTTGTTATGTTATCATGTCACGATAACAGCGAATTATAATTGAATTTTGCTCAAGCAATATCTCACAGACGTCCGGCATCACATAATAAACGTTTGCTTTTGAAAAAAAGTATCATGTTATTTAATAGAAATTTCATTCTTTGTGTAAGTTAGATAGAGAATTTTGATCATTTTTTCAATTATGTTCTTATAAGATATTTTTGCATTAAACTTTTGTATTTTAAGATATCAATGAGTGTTCTAACACGAGTTGCTTAAACGGTGGTACATGCGAGGATCTCATTGGGAAAGGTGTCTGTCATTGCTTATCAAGCTTTACAGGAAAATTATGCCAGACAGGTTACCTAATTACTATCTTCATTAAAAATCCAAATCATTAAATTGTTTTATAAGTTAAAATATTTAGTAAGGACATATTGCAAATAGAGGGAAAAATAAAACATTTTTTTCTATCAATTAAGATGGAGAAACACCAGGATTATATGTGTTTGTGTATTTATTTTTCTTCCGCTATAATGTCCGACATACTAGCTACAATATTTACTTTCTTCAATAAATGGCAATTGCAATTGCAAATAATGTAGAATCATTTTACACCATACCTTGCGCAATGCTTTTTCGTTCATATATACATAAAAGTAGTCCTCCGCTTAGATACAAACGCCTAAAATTAAAAAAAAATGTAAATCGTACATAGATCAGTGTCAATTACAGCAGCAAAGTATGCACACGGTATTAAGAAACATGCTAAGAAATATATCTGAAACCAGCTCTTGTGCGATTCTAAATCAGATTTCAAAAGTTATATGTAAAATTTATAATGTTTAAGTGTCTTTTTGCAGGGATAGATTTCTGTAAGTCCTTACCTTGTCTTAACGGTGGGGCATGCTTCAGTAATTTAACAGGTTATACATGTTCTTGTGTGGATGCTTGGCATGGAACAAATTGTGCATTTAGAGACGAGCCGACCAATAATACTAGCATAATGTTAATGGTAAATATGTTAATACTTGTTTTTTTGTATGATTGCACTTAAACTATTCATAAATATAAAATTTGACATTTTATAATGATTTCAAGACACTTAACTTAATGTTTCAGGCAAATGAACATATGCATTACTCAGACTGCAAATGTCTCCTTGGAAATGAACGCCGACAAATATGCTACCCATACAATAAAGGGAAGGGGGTTGGCTTTGGCATTCTTGGAGTGGTCTTAGGTATTTCAACAAGCGTGCTGTTATACATTCTCTTCGAGGGAGTGTTTGCAAAAGGTTTGACCTGCCTTCAAGATGTATATAACAAAACACCGGCACGACTAAAACTGAATACGTCAGCCTACCCTGACATATTCAACCGCTACAATGACAACTGCAAATTGAATGAAGCTGTGAATGATTTTAAGTTTGAAGAGAAGAACTGTGGTCATATCACTAACACATTCCTGTCAAGGGGGACATACCACAGCCGTCACTGTTGGGCATGTAGGGATAAAATAGAACAAGCCAACAATCCCGCTCCCACTCACGAATTCCTGAAGAAATATTCTGGTCTGAAAAGGATTCTTAAAAAGGAATGACTTGTATTACTATATTTAGTTTTGAGCATATATCACGTATTATATTTTGTACATTATTTCAATTTTTCTTATGCTGCTAGTGCTATTTACTTCTAGGTGTTTATTACAATATAAATATCCTCATATATCTGCTGCCTTTCCATTGTAAAGAGTATTGTATTGAGCATTTCTTTTAATGTATATCAATTCTTTAATTCCTAATAAGTATTGTGTAATTTTAGATAGATTTGAAGTGTTCATTTTTTTCAATCTCTGCAACAGCACGTGTAATATTTATAAAGTCGTTCTAGTTTTTCTGAAGTCCATGATGTCCTTGTGCAGTAACCGTAGCGCTTAAATCATTACATTATTATGAAATTATCAAAGACGTGTACAGAAGTATTTTCATATACATGCATAACGTTTTCACATGACGTTGAATCATTTGATTATCCACAAATTTATTAACATTTTTATTTATGTGTTTCTGAATCAGAACACTGTTGAGATTTTCTAATGTTGCAAATAAACAATTTTAGATGTCAGAAATAAAGAGCATTGAACGAATATTGTTGTAAATTTAATAGCATTGTAAATCTTTGCTCTGAAGATTTGTATTGCATAAGCAAATATGAAATTTAATCGTATTGATTAATCTAACTGTGTGATAAAGAGGGAAAGGTTATACATATACGCAATAAAAATTACGAAAAAAGAAACAAAGCCCACCTTTTCTCCACCAAATTGCTTATAAACATTTTTGAGCGATTTAAGTGAAGTAATAGATAATGTCGGAAAATGAACAGTAACATTTGGTTATTGAAAATGTATATCAACGATTTAGTCATCAAAGCGCTGTTACAATAAACATTTTATTGAAGTTAATGATATTTGCGTCGTGGAATATGCTATAAAGAAAACAACGCAATAATTACGTTTATACACACACGTGTGTTATGAAGATTTTTCAGTGGTTCTTTATTGTATTCATAGTCCGAGAAATATATTCGCATTATAATGATGTAATATTGATATTTAAAACTACATCTAAAAATGAATTCCAATAGATATGACACTGGATACCCATTCTGTTTTTTTATTATCAATAACGTCGATTTTGCACAATTGAAATAAATAAATATTGCATGGTATAGAAATAAAAAATAGTTTATTTTTGAGGGCTACCAGAATTTTGATTGAGGAGCACCGTTATATTTTCATTCATATTCCAAACATTTTCTATGCAAATGTCCAGTTGTGTGATAACTTGTTCTGTTTGATTTCGTTTCTTTGATCATTGAAATAATATCTGGAACGACTTTGTCTTGTTCTTCAACCTTATTTGTTATATTTACATCTTTATTTTGTTTCTACTTTTCCACGCTACAACATAGAAGGTCGTACTGAGAATAACCTGAAATAAAACATGTCACCATTACTGTTAGAATTCCAAGAAAAGTTCCTAAAGTACCGTATCCAGTGATGGCACCGGTCTTGGATTTGGAGCACAATTCTTGCCTAGCAAGACCAACGTAACGGTCCCATTCAGAGTAATGCATCCTTTTATTACCTACAAAATATAATACATGCGATAGTAAACAATCAAAAGAAATGAAAAGTGGGACGTATCAAAACATTACTAAATTTGATTTTGACCAAGATATATGATTCAACGTTAATGTATGTTTATTCTCTAAAATTCTGGGCAACGACATTATTGATTAAGCCATTCAATTAACCGGTAAAACTTCTAGAACTTCTTCCATCTTAATGTATCAACTGATTAAAGTTTTGTTGACGTTTGGAATGAGTCCTGGTGTAATGTTTTGCAGAAGTACTGTACTGAATAATTTTCTCTTATAAGACCTGATGTTTGTATTTTAATGGACACGATTATAATTAAATAGTTCGAGTTTGCATAATTATCAACATACAAAACAGGTTTGGATCTTTAAAAACAACTTTTGTTCACAAAGAAATTAGAATTGATTATGATTTATGTAAATATAATAGTATAATAATTACATGCTTTTCGGTGGTTTATAGAAATATATCAGTGATAAAAAAACTGATAATTTCACTGTTTTAAACGGTGAAATTATCAATTTGATATTTCACTGTTTTGAATTTAAGCCCCTTACGTTGTTTCAGTGAAATACCAGCGTGCACAGTACTGGGAACCAACTAAATGACGTGACGTCGTAAATGACGTCACGTTGTATTATTATTTAGCGCGCTTTTCATTAAGAATTAGGTTTAATGTCTTTTTAAAACGTTTCTTTGCATTTACTAAAGAGAAAATTTGTTTAGTTTAGTGTAAGATCGAAATATCTTTCACCGTGTGAACACCAAAAGTTCATCCTAAGTAAACAACTCATTTATAAACAAGCTGACATTATTTCATACATACAAGAATGATAAATGGGGCACTGATGTAAACACAATACAATCCATTCTAAGACGTAAGTTTTTATTGTTGAAAACTTGATAAAATAACTTTTTTTCTTATTATTTCTTTTGTTTAATAATTTCTATATCTTAGCAACAGTAGGGTGCGAAATCGAACAGCGTTATACGAAAATCGGCACCGGAAGTTATTTCCGCTTGAAAAAATAACATTAGTGATCTTCCTTATTTTATCTTGTTAGAATCGAAATAATATCGGTCTTAGCGGTGTTTATCGGCTATTTAACACCGGTTTTGTCGTTTTGATGCGAAAAAATTAACCACTCAGGCCTACGGCCTTCGTGGTCAATTCCTACGCATCAAAACTCCAAACCGGTGTTAAATAGCCGATAAACACCGCTAAGACCGATATTATTTTTTCTGTACGAAATCTGCTGTGGTCATAGTATTATTTTTACAATAGGTTTATCTCTTAGATTTGATTTGCTAAATTGCTAATCATGGTCATGCAACTACATAGTTAGGTGAAGAAGCAGGCGCTTGTTTTGGTTGAGTCTATTATGTTTTGTTTAGGGGGTTGAGTTGTCATACACAAATTTACAATTTATATGCATTTATTTTTTTCCAATGATTGTTATTATCTTAAATGCTTCTGGGATTGTTGTTTTATCAATTCATTTGTAAATAAGATTGTTATATGTCTATTAACGGAATAATTTTAATGAACACGAAATTAGTTCACACCTACATGTGTATTGCTAACGTGATGGTTTAAGCCAATGAAAACACGTCAATATTATTATACTCAGGCAGAGAAAAAGTGTGCAAAGAGTAAATCGATAATCTTTATGTAGCCAGCAAACTTTGAACTGCAAGTATTTTTTCAAATCAAACTGTCCGACGATTCGTATCGTAAAATGGCTGCCATTTACAGTATCAAGTAATTATCCCAAGCACCACCGCGACTTAGCGCGGGAATTTTAATTATAGCTAACATCGGCGCGTATACCTTTTTCATATTTTATTGTAATAAATATTTACAAACTGTGTCTTTCGGGTTTTTTTTTTATCAATATATAACCAATAATGATGTTAATATGAATAGATAATCATATCTCAAATCTTTGACTATGATTTACAATGAAATTCTACCTTAAGTGTATTAAAAAGGTTTTTAATTTCCTGTAATTTTATTTTGTGATTATGCTTCAAAGCAGTCAATTGACCGTGAATTTTCTTTTTTTTCATATTTTGATTTCCTTGAAATCATTTTTCTCATCTGAAGGCATGCAACTTTAATATGGTGATACATTAATTACATTCCATGAAAATGTTTAAAGATATAAAATATCTCATGACATGTTTGTTCATTTTACATTACACCTTTAATTCAGCAAACATAAAGTCTTCACAAAAAGTAGTAAGCAATCGTACTTATATTACATACGAATGTATGTAATATTTTTCTTGTTTAATATTTGATATAGCCTGTTTGACAAATTCTACAATAAATCCCTATTTGCAATTGCATCGGAAGTAGGCTAATAGATCCGTGCATTTCCCATCGTTTCGACACATCTCAGCAGAACATTCGTTACTATCAAACATGAATTTTAACGAATACTAATGCAAATGATCCATAAAAAATGTTTAAAGATAATGCATTATAAATTGGTTTGAAAATGAATATATATTCTTGTTATGGTGAATATGCACACATAAGCGCTGCTTCAAATGTGAACGCATATAATTTTATTTTGAGAATGTTTTCTGGAACATTATAGTAAATAGATAATTATTTTATGACTAGTTTCACAATCTTATTCATGAAATATGTGTTAAAACATATTGTTAATCATTCTTTGAAAGAAATATACCTCATATGTATACAGTAATATGTAAATAGATTTAGATACATGCATACTTTCCTATGATTTTTGGTACAACAAAATCCAATCATAAATTTCTAAAAGCAAAGTAGATTTTCAAACTGAAAATCATATCCTACCTTTCTCTTTCATATCTGACAAGGCTGTTTACCTAATTTGAAATGAGACCGCTATGTATAGCTCCAGATGAAGAAAGCTTGAAAAAAGGACCAGGCAACATCACGAGCATCGCCAAATTAAGATTAATTATATCAATGTAGTTTGCCCACATAATGCTCACTCTTAAAATTATACTTAGCATCGAAATAAGATCTCCTGTATAATCGTAAAGACAACGGTAACAGCAGAAGGTACTGTTTATGAGATTGAACCTGTTTAATTGATGCAACAATGTCAGCTCATCAAAGTCTGAAAAAAAGATATTTGATAAATCTTTTATCAGTGATTTTTTGAGTGTGATTTTTTTATTACGATTACAATTGATAAACACTGAATTGAACAATATTTAAAAATCATTTTATAGTGATTCCATAAATTAATAGCCATCAAATTTCTGTACCGGATATGCTGTGTCCAGAATTAAGCCTTAGTTGTGACGAATGTACTACATGTACTATGGGATAAATAAGGCGAAATTTCAGTGGACGGACTCCATTATGTGTAAACTAATATCGTAATATCGAGGTACGAGTAAATCGAACAACCTTATTAAATGCATATTACCATGTTTTGTAAGCTATATTAAACTGTATGTCTTGAAAGAATTTTAGGTAAACGTATATAAATCATGGCGTAATGCTTACTTGTTGAACCGATAACGCACTTTAAATAATTTGCTTATTTATTTTATCAAGATAAATACCTACAGTGCATGCATTAAAATCATTTATGCATAAAAGCTGCCCACGCAGGTAAACATTTATGTAGAAGAAGAAAAATGCATAATCGGACGAAATCCCACGTAAAAGCACGGTAGTTGCACGCACTTTAATATGCGCGACCAAACGTTCCATGTAGCAATTGCTGGCTGCAGTGATGGTCCCTGTGATTTCATAATGATCAAAACATAACAGTCAATGGTTTTGCACTCGCATATAACGAAACAGATTTATCTATTGATAGTATTTATTAGGAACATCAAATAACGAAACGCGAAAAAAAAAACAAAAACAAAAAACAAAAAAAAACAGTAGTTTATTTGTATGCAGTTATAATGCTAAAGTGCCCCTTTTTATTCGTGCATCCACAAAACACTTTTAACGGGTCCACATCATATTCCAACTTACTCCATTCAATGAAATGATTTCAAACACGAAACATACATGTAGATGTAAAAAAATGATACACGATGACACAGAAAAGTGCAATGTCACTGCATGAAACTTGTAGATTCAATTGTAATATTCCCATTCATGACTCTCCTGTCCGGGGCATGATATCAGCACTATCTAAATAAAAAAAATAATAATTGGGAATAATATAAAAGTGTATTGGAAACACATGTTTAGTGTCCAATTTATTTTACAAGAATTATCAACATTTTTTGCTTTTTTTATTTGTTTATCTGTACTCAAAAACTTATTCAATGTTTTGACTTGAAACACTTTTTCTGTTTTCTGTCTAAAATGCCTAACTTAAAGATTTGAACATTTATAACACGAAGTAATCAAAATGAATGAATAGCAGAGTGTAGTATCGAAAACAAAACACAAACGAAAAATTACGTTACTTATTTTGTAACCTCTACTTCATTGTCCTTCAACTGAGACTATATACACAAATGTACTATTAGGGTATATAGAATATATAAATAGAAACCGGCATCAATTTGGCAATGTTTTCGCTGTAGTTTATTTCTAGATCTATTTTTCTTGTTATATCGTATCTTTGGTTTAAATTTGACACAGAAAACTATAGAATTATTTTATTTTCATGAAAATTCGGAAACAAATCAACTTTACTTTACTTGTACGGTAGAAACAAGAGCTCCTTTCAACATTCTGAACTCTTCCTTAAAAAGGTCATAATGGTTTCTTATTGTGAATGAGTCTTATTTCTTTCTGGGCCCAAGTGCTGTAACAGAGTAGCTGGAGTTGTTTTCCTTGAATATTTGGATCGTCGATTCTATTATTATCCTTTATTTTGTAGATTTTCAAGCGATCTTATGTGACGTTATTATATAATAGGGCGAGTGTGCAGTTTCAAGAATCATTCACCATCTTTTTTCTCGGCAGTATGTACTTTATTTTTATTTTGACATTCACCTATAACAGCGGGAGACAAACTTCCAGTGTATACTTCATATTATTCAAATAATCGATTGAAATATGACATCTATTGTATCTTAAGTTATTTGTAAACAGTGATAAATGCTAACTATTATTGCATAATTACGTTGCCTATATTTCTAGTCAATATAAAAAGTAAATTGTTGACACTTATATCAAGAAGCGTGAATTCTGCAAGCAATGGAATCGCATGTTAGTGTATTACCTTGCCGTAACTTATATCTTTAACTGCACACATGCAGCAGATTAAGTCTAATCAAAAGAAAAAAAGAAAATGAAATAAAAGAGAGAAACAGGAAGTAAAGATGAAAGGCAAGTTAATTTTGATAAATGTGTACTTGTAAATCAATGCTAATTATTTACTAATGGTTTGTTCAAGAAAATAAATCGATTAGATCAAAGGTTACATTGACTTTTTGCAAGCCTTTTGTCACGCAATTTACGTAGTTGGTTTTACCCTATGAGATAAGCTGATATGTACTGATAGTATGCTATTTGGAGTAGCGTTTTTTCATTTTATAAGTATTTAATCAATCCACGATAATATTTTCAATAAGATATAATCATTCAAAATACCATTAACATGGTGAATATGTCTGATATTTTATCAGGACTTTTGCCGTATAACTATCAAAATGCAGACAGAAAAAAGGAGAGGTCAAAAAGTAAATGCTGACATTTTTGGAAACAACCTTATCGTATTTGCTCCTGATACTCAGAACCTTTTCTTGCAGTCATATTGCGATTTTATATCATTGCATATCTTAAAATTGGCTAAATATACCACTAAATATACAACTTGAACATTCAATACTTTTTACCGTTACTCCCGCAAGCATTTGACAATAAAGCTTATCTTTGCTCAGTCAAACTAATCTATAAAGCGGCTTTCTTCCGCATCAAGATATCATTTAAATCTGATCACGGTTACAATGTGTTTGATATTAGGTATCGGAACGTAATACTAAATTATGCCTGTTACAAACATTTTGTACTTCATTTTTCTCATTTTATTCCGTTTGTCTTCAGCAAATCATTTTCGTGGCGGAACAATAAGTTGGAGTGCCACCGGAAAACCTGATTTATTGTTAAAACAATTAAATTTATTTTTCACTGTTTCACGTTTGTTCTTCTTCATTTAAAAGGTAGAACAGTTAGGCAATAAGATAATGAATAGCATAAGAAATAATAACACATTGTATGACCTCAGATATGACAGTTTATAATTCAAATGACAGTATCAAAAACTTCAAGTGTAATTTCGTTTATCTTTTAATTAGAATGTAAGAATGACACACCTATATCTTGCAGATGCTTTGTAAGTCAAGCGCCCATGTAAGAAAATATTATCATTCCTCCAGTTTGTCTCTTAGAAAAATTAAACACTGTCTTATCAACAATTATTTAAAGGTTGAGTTCACATTTAAACTTGGTTGGATTCTCGGTTTGGGGCCAGGATGTAATGAAAATTTGATCGGAAAATATGTGAATAATTCAATGGGACCCCGAGGGGCGTGGGTTTGCTCAAAGGTAAGTTTCTTAACATCTGTTTCCTACAGTGTTAACTTTGAAGGTAGGCATACTGAAGAAAGCATCGTTTTGCAACAAAAACAGTATAAATATTTAATGTTTTTTAAATTCTTTTTTACTTTAGTTCGGTTTCTTTCAGAGAAAGTGCACAATTCAAACATTAATCTGTCGTCCATGTAAAAAATGTTTTGCAATTAAATAATTTCTTACACATTTATATATACGTGTATATAAAACGTAATGGTATTGAAGTCTAGGAACATGGAACATTTTCATATGGACCAATAGAAAAGTATTTATCCTTTTTCAACAGGGATGTGAACCAAATAATGACAAGTTGTCGGATGTAAACTATTTTTGTACGGCAGCTAGCAAAACACAAAACTGGGAGCAGGGAGAAAACAGCTTTAAATATACATTTCCATACAAGGGACCGTTCACTATCGAGTAAACTAATTTCTTCTTGTTCTGTAGCAAAAGTTTTACGCATTATTTAAAAGATCCTATAAAATGAATATTTTTACGTGCTGCATATTACAAAAAAGTCATCATTTGAAAAAGATATTGTTATTTTTAATAATGTAGCAGTACAAGATTTGCAAAAGGAAATAATAATACGTTTACATGTATCACCTTTATTTCGTGATGTTGTCTTGATTATAAGTAAGGATTTATTACACCCTTTGATATTATGCTAACCTATGTAACAGGTTTGCAGGTGGAAATTGGATTAATATTAGCTCTGGTACCGGTGGACGTTGGACTATATCTACTGTTGTGGACCTTCGTTCTAGAAACGACACTGGAAGACCAAATATGAGCCCTGTAACGTCAGGAAAACCAGTTTATAGGCGAGGATATTAATATTTTATGCAATGTTAGACTAATGCTTAAGATAAAAGAAAAGTGTCTACGCTTACTCAACATTACACACATGAAAAGTCATTTTTGTCATACTTAAGTAATGATTCTTCAGTTATAGTCTGTTGACACAGAATATCAGGATGAAACATATAAAAAAAAACAAGCAGAGTAATATCATAAAACACGATACAAGACTCATTTACTTTGATTAATTTATTTTTTTCCTTTATTTGCCATAAAATATGTATCGCACAATCACAATTTAGAATGAAGTACGGCTGCACAAATACCATAAAGTTACCAGTGATGGATCAAGATGGTGACAAAATAACATGCAGGTGGTCGGTAGGCGACGAATGTGCGTCCGTTTGTAAATCTTTGCCGTTTTCGATGATTGATCATGTAAGAGTTTAACAACAATTCGTCCTTATCCTAATATACCGTTTGATAAGTATTTCAAAAGTAGCTATTATATAATTTATTTTGTTTTCTGTTCAATCATACTAATTATAAATTATAATAAGGCGTGTGATGAAATCAGAGATTGGTCATTTAAATTAAAATCAAGTCACTTTCTGAGGCAATATATCAATGTTTATTAAGCGTTGTTATTCAATAGTCTTCATTACGATGAATTTTCTCAGTTTTAAGTTTCTGAATTGTTGCGTTGTTTAAAGTTATAACTTATTTTGTGTATTATGGATATTTTGATTTTATTACAGGACAATTGCTCTTTAACAGTTTCTGCAAAACACACGCGAAACGGTTGGTTCGCTGTTGCGATAACAATAGAAGATTCACCGAATCAGGCCTTATCCCTCAATGGTTCAGTTTTGACGAAAGATGATGTCATTTCCAGTGTACCTATGCAGGTATTAAATTGTTTAAAAAAGCAATTGTTAAAGAAGTTAACATTTCGAGAGTGGCAGTAAGAAATTTTGAATGGTATTCCTTAAATATTATTTAGATTGTGACAACATATTCTAAGTATTGTCCGATTCATGCTTTATATTACTTGTTCATAATGTACAAAACTATTGTAGTTTAAATCACCTTTCAGTTCTTAATTAACACCCCAGACATACCATCAAGATCATGTTCTGATAAACCTGTCTTTGTGACGCCAACACCTCCGGAAGACCAACTGTATATTCTTACGCCTGGTGAAAAGCTTACAATAACCTGCTATGCTACATCAAAAGGTACAAGGTCAGTAAACCGGAAACATGCTTTGCAACAAATTATCTAAGAAGGTTTCTAGAATCATCTTTAATTTTACACGAACCTGATTGTTCTTTATAGACTTAATCATTTACAGAAGAGGAATAAAACTAATATAGCATAATCATTAATTTGCTCTAGTTTTATTAACAAGAATTTGAAAGAATAAATTGCTTAAAAATAAACACAAAAATCCTACTTTTCTTGAAAAATTAGAAGAAATTTGATATTGTTTCCTATAAGAGATTTTTTTATTACACTCTCTGTTATTTTCTTTCGATTTTGTTTCGAAAACAGAATAACATCGTTTGAGCTTACAGCACCACCTGGCGTAAGAAAGTCTTCAATTCAGTCCGTTCCCGGACGCCCAAATGTTTACAAAATCGTAGTTACGTGGGTACCAAAACAGGAAAATAAAGGACAACACGCTCTTTGTATCGAGGCAACTGATTATTTCGGGTATGTTTGTTTTGCTTCATAAAAAGCAACAACACATGTTGCATAATCAAATAAAATTTATTTTTACATAGAATGATTCCTGAATACTGTATTAATCTTGTGAATTCCTTTGACAGAAATAGCTAATAAGCGTTCCTTTTCAAATCCATTTGGTAATCATTTTTAATTGAGACATTATTTTTATGCTGAATAAATCCTAAACAATTTACATGACTGTAGTTTGATATATTGCCATAAGGGTTTACATGTGATGATATATTATAAATGTCTGTACCATCTTTGCACCGTATGTTCCTTGTTTAAATCCATTTTTCTTAATAAGGATATTTAAAAAAATAACGAGATTTAAAAGATATCGATGTAATTAAGCTGGTCATATTAAATTTAAATTGTATATTTCTTTATTCAGGATTAGCAGTGACTCGCATTGTTTAAAAGTTGTTGCATGGGGTAAGTTTATCATAATGTTATCTACCACGAAGTCGTGTGAATTATTCGAACTGTGATGTTTTTGAAGAAAAAAATTGACTAGTTTTAAATCAAGTACTTGTATCTTCTATTAAATTGTTATATTCAATTCAAAGTGACACTATCCTCATTGCGTCGTTGTCAGGTTGAATTGAATTAGATGTATATCCCTAAAAATGACACACAAACATTTGATATACATTTGTGAAATTGTTAATAATTACACATTCCTCTCAAACGATTGACTTTTAATAGAGAACGACCAAACAACAATTGATGATAAGACATGTTAAAGAATATAATTCTTTGAAAATATATAAATATATAGTACAAAAAAGACTTCTCCAATCGTTTCATCAAACGAAAGCGTAAATGATATATTATGGAAGATATTTATAGAAATTTTCATGTGCCACATGAATTATTGAATATTCACTAAATTAAGATTAGAATATGCAAATGGAAATAAATACGGCAAAATGTAAATGAATTTTTATTATAACCTGTACCTTTACAACATTAACAGTTGGATGAGATGGTCATAGTGTTATCTAAAACATTTCATTACATCAACCTAACATAACGTTTATATTTATCATTCAAAATGTTCGAATGACAAACAAACATAACGGGGAGGGGGAATTGAGAAAAAAAGTTAAACATGTATATATTTTCATATATCTATTTAATACAAAACAAGGTCTCGAAATTTAGATAATCTAAATCTTAGAGGAAATGAAGTATGATATGATATTTTTTTTTTGAAGATATTGATCCATGTAAAAGCAGCCCCTGTCAAAATGGAGGCAATTGTACAAGAACGGGATTTACGGACAATTTTGTATGTACTTGTGTCCCTGGATACACGGACTTGCTTTGTCAAACAGGTATGGTTTTACAGCTGATAGTTATATACTTATAATAATGAAACACATTTTTGACAAATACAAGCAGAAGATTGTTATAATAATTTGCTACAATATGTTAAAACTTGTATTTATTCTGTAATGGTAAAATTATATAACAAACGCGAATGCCACTGTTTCGTATGGATATTTGTATTCATACTTTAGCTTCAGAATGTTTCAATAACTTCATACCGTTTTAGAAGAGAGTTTTATCAGTTGTGTTGATACAATCAAGTGAGACGTAACACATGAATGTGTGTGTGTTTGAAGCCATAATGTTATCTATAAGGTTCTTTTACTTGCATGATCCATTTAAAAATATCTACGTGTTTCAAATTAACAAAGCAAGATAAATAGCATATTCTCAAGTATTGTACAATATAAAGTACAACAACGCATAACTATATGCCTGCCAAAACTAAAGTCACATGTTCTTGTCATTTTCAACAGATATAAATGAATGTGCTAGTGACCCGTGTCTGAATAATGGCACGTGTTTCGACTTGATCAACGAATTCTTCTGTGGTTGTGTCGCTGGCTTTACGGGATTGCAGTGCGAAACCGGTAAATATTTTATTAACAATAAACAACGTTTTCATTAAAAATTGTCATGCCTTTGTCTATGCTGCTTGAATATGTTTGAATGATTTAAACTGATATTTTGAAAACGATCTGAAGCGGCATACTTAACATTACTTATGGACCTTTCAATAAAACATACTTTAATATAATGTTTATGTTATTATGTCATGATACCAGTGGATTATAATTAAATTCTGCTCAAGCAATATCTTAACAGAAGTCCTGCATCCCATACTTAGGATTTGTTTCTAAAAGTGCAAAAGTACAGTTTTATTTAAAGTCTTCTTTCCCTTAAATAACGTTGTGAAGTAATATAGAGAATTTCGGTCATTATTTCAATTATGCACTTATAAATGTGATTACCATAGGTTATACAATTAACTTTTTTATCTTTAGAAATCAATGAATGTTCTAACATGAGTTGTTTAAACGGTGGTACATGCGTGGATCTCATTGGGAAAGGTGTCTGTCATTGCTTACCAAGCTTCACAGGAAAATTATGCCAGACAGGTTACATGATTACTATATTGATTTAAAATACGAATCAGTTTTTAACATTTCTAAGTTAAAATATTTAGTAAGAAGTTGTTTTATACATCGAACATTGAAGCACATTTCTTTCAATTGCTATAAATGGAGAGAGAGAAACATCAGACTCTATGTATTTTGTTTTTCGCTAGCAGTGGCAAAAATGTTAAATGTTTTACACGTTACCTGGTTTGATGCTTTGTCTTTCTTATACAATAAAAAGTAGAACTCCGCTTATGTTACACATGAATGCTTTAAACATAATATTTGAAAATCGTTTATAGATCCGTGTCACTAAAGGGATCACAATATGCAAAGGATATTGAGAAACATATTGATAGTAAAATCTTTAACAAGCTTTTGTGCGACAATGAGCCAGAATTGAGTTAAAAATGTTGTGTTTGAATGGTTTTTATTTTAATGTAATTTTGCCGAGTTAATAAAAGAATTATTTGTATAAAACATGAATGAGTGGATGATCTGAAACTTTGCACATATTGGTCCACACCTTTATCAAATTGTAGACAAGTCTAAAAAATAACAATTTTATGCCAAACCATCTCAGTGAAATCCTTTATTTGTTTATATTGAAACCGTCCTGATCACCACTTAGAGTAGTTTATTAACTTTCAAATATGGATAATATTTACAACATTCACAGATGATTAAACTGTTTTATTTCATTGTGTAAGCACTTGTAGATTTTAGCATTACATATCTTACAACGGTCATCGTCACTCGTAAAATGTGAACCTTCTAATTAATATGTTAAATTCTCTTATTGCAGGGATAGATTTCTGCAAGTCCTTACCTTGCCTTAACGATGGGACATGTTACAGTAATTTAACAGGTTATACATGTTCTTGTGTGGATGATTGGCATGAAACAAATTGTGCATTTAGAGACGAGCCAGCCAATAATACTAGCATAATGTTAATGGTAAATATGTTTTACTTGTATTGTGTATGATTGCACTTAAATTTGGTATTGCAAGTATTCAGAAAAAAAAATTATGAAATTTTACACTTAAATATGATTTCAGCACGCCTAACTTAACATTTCAGGCAAATGAACATATGCATTACTCAGACTGCAAATGTCTCCTTGGAAATGAACGCCGACAAATATGCTACCCATACAATCAACGGAAGGGGGTTGGCTTTGGCATTCTTGGAGTGGTCTTAGGTATTTCAACAAGCGTGTTGTTATACATTCTCTTCGAGGGAGTGTTTGGAAAAGGTTTAACCTGCCTTCAAGATGTATATCACAAAACACCGGCACGACCAAAACTGAATACATCAGCCTACCCAGATATATTCAACCGTTATAATGACAACTGTAAATCGAATGAAGCTGTGAATGATTATAAGTTTGAGGAGAAGAACTGTGGCCATATTACTAACACATTTCTGTCACGAGGAACATACCACAGTCGTCACTGTTGGGCATGTAGGGAGAAAATAGAACAAGCTAACAATCCTGCTCCCACTCACACATTTCTTAGGAAATATTCTGGTCTGAAAAGGCTACTAAAAAAGGAATAAATAATATAACTATGTTTTGTGTGAAGTATATATAATTTTTTTAGTATTTTTTTCTCAACTTTTCTTGTGTAGCTATGCTAGTGTAATTGACTTATAAGTGTTTGTTATAATATAAAATGTCTTCATATATCTGCCTCCCCATTGTAAAGAGTATTAAGCAATCGACATTTTTTCTTTATCCTTTAATCATTGATAATTACTATGTATTATGTAGATAAATATAAATTCAGGATTGTTCAGTATTTGAATACATTCACAAGCACCAGTAATATTGATAATGTCGTTATATTCGTCTTAATTGCATTATTTCCTTCAATCATTAAGTCGTATTTTTTCATCTCCAACACATTTAGTGTACTTTATATACACGCATACCGTTTTCATTCCACATTCAATTTTAATCAATTAAGAATATACGAACTGATAAAAAACTTGTGTATGCTATATGCTGTAAGATATACTCATGCTGCAAACAAATAACGTTAGATAGCAGAAATAAAGAATATTGATAGAATATTGTTGTACCCTTTATAACATAGTAAATCCTTGCTGGGAATATCTATATTGAATAAAAAAGTAAATCGTTTTGATTGACGTAACGGTAAGATAAAGAGAGTAGCTAGTGCTACATCATTTTAACGTGTACAAGTATAAATATCTTTTTATACGCAATTAATGTTCAGAATAATAGTGTTGTGTTATTAAGCCCACCTTTCCCCATAAAATTGTTGATAAACATTTTAGGGAAATAAGTGAAATAAAAATCAGAATGTCGAAAAATTTATATATATATTTGGTTATTGAAAATTATTGATTAATTACATTATAATCATATTATGTTATTATTGTTCAACAATGTTATTTATAAAGTGTCAATGTTTGATAGTTTATTCAACATTCCTGAAGGATGAAAAGACCATGTGGACATTCATAGCATATACAGAACATTTACAAAAAACAGTACAAGAACCTTGTAATAAAAATATAGTGATATTCAAAATAATAACTAGAAACATAAATTTCATTTTAAATGAAACTGGACCCCAATCTGATTATTATTATAAATAATATCTATTTTGCGTATTCATAGAAACGTATTCTTATTGCAAAGTGGGTAAAGAAATAAGTTATCTTTTGAGGCTACCAGAATTTCGGTGGAGGAACACCGTTATATTTGACTTCACATGCCCAACATTTTCTATGCTTATGACCAGTTGTGTGATGACCTATTCTTTTAGATTTCGTCTCCTCGATCATTGGAATGATCTTAACATCAGGAACGTCTTTGTCGTTTTCTTCAACCTTGTTTGTTACTTTTACTTCTTCCGTCTGTTTTCCCTTTTCCACGCAGCAACATAGAAGGTCCTTACTGAGAATAAACTCAAATAAAGCATATAGCCCTATTACTGTTAGTATTCCAAGAAAAGTCCCTAAAGCACCATATCCAATGCTAGCCCCGGACTCGTATTTGGTGCACAATTCTTGCCTTGCACGACCAACGTAACAGTCACATTCAGAGTAATGCATCCTTTTATCATCCTACAAAATATAATCCATGCAATAGTTAACAATAAAGTGCAGCATTTAAACATGTTTAATATTAGTGGAGACCACGGTTAATAATTCAATGGTAATAACTTTTCATCCGAAAAAGTCAGGGCTATGACAATGGTGATTTAGACATTTCATTGACGGGTAAAATTTCTATAAATTATGTCATCTAAATTGATCAATATTCTTTTTTTTTACTTTGATTCTATCACTTCTTTTTTGACGAGATTGGAATGATTCCAGGTGTAATGTGTTGAAGTAGAACTGTATTATATTTACTCTTTCATGACCGGATGTTTATATTTTAACTAGATAAAAGACACAATTTGTTTATAAGTCGAGTTTACATAAAAAAATTAACACGCAAAACAAACTTGGACATTTGTTTATAACAACTTTTCTTCACAAAGAAATCCGAATTGTTCATGATTTGTATGTTATATCTTAGTACAGCATCAGGATCTTCCAGTAAGAAACTTTTTGTACAATCTAACATTTCAGTTTTCACGGGCAACACATCTGCTAGGTCATTAACACGCTTTGAATCTAAAGATTGAAAATGAAAATCGTTTTACCAAATAAATGCTGCTGGTATTAAAAAAGCTTCCTTCTTGACGCCTAAAAGCACAGTTTATACCTTCCCAGCCATCAACGCACGTGCAAGTGTAAACAGTACCATTCTGGATCTTACAAACCCCATTATTCTTACATGGTGTTGAACTGCATGGATTAAAACCTAAAAACCATATGTTTATAAATTTGAGAATATTCATTCCATAAAGGTCTTTTGTACATGTTACAAATTGTCAAGTTTGCTATATGGTCACAAATAATATAATTAACATTACAATGACCTATGTATCTATTGCATGCCACATTCTCTATCTAGTATCGTTATTCTATAGAAGTTGAATACTTGCTAATACCTGTTTGACAAATTTCACCAATAAATCTTTCCTTACAGTTGCATTTAAAGTAGCCAAGAAGATCCGTGCAATTGCCATCGTTTAGACATGGTCCAGTAGCACATTCATCGATATCTGAAATGATTTTTAACTTCCACTAATCTGATGAGCATAATTCATATTTTCAGATAAAGGTATTATAGTGATTATTATAAGATTCAAAGTTTTAATATAACCTGGTTATTTGGGGAACATGCACATATTAGCAGTGGTTTAAAGGAACACGCATCATTATAATTTAGGTTCGAACTTAGAGAATATTCTCTGGTAAATAATAGTAAATATGTTAACTTTATTTTAAGAGTAGTTTCACAATCTTATAAATTACACATTTTTCTGCATTTATTTTGATAGGTTAATAGATCGAGATCATTGCATACATTTTTGTTATTTGTACAAATACATGCAGTCATAAATTTTTTCTAACAAGTTCTTTTGTTTTCTTTTTTCATTTTTTTTCAAAGTGAAAATCATATGATAACATGCAGCCATTATTTGGAGTGTCAGGTTTTATGTTGCATAATATTGAAAAAAAACTTAAGTTTCACTACAATTTGCAACATACTGTAGAAATGTAAAGCCTCTCTAGCACTACCAAATAAAGGTTCATCATGTCAATGTGGATTACATGTAACCACAGGATTCTTATACTAAAAGATGCAAGTGATTATAGCATCGGACTAACCTATTTCACATTCCTCTCCTGTGTAACCAGGAAAACAACCGCAAAAGAAACTGTTAATGAGATCGAAACATGTCCCATTGTTGTTACAAGGTCCACTCTGACACTCATCTATGTCTGAAAAATACAAATAAATAATAATAATAATAAAATATGATAAAAACACAAAGATACGGACGACAACGCTATAGTCTGACTTGTTATTTTTTAAACTTTCAAAATAAACATCTTTTTAATATAAACATATATGATTGTACAAGATCTGATAAAGGAGAAATATCCGTTAACAAGAAATATGCAAAATGTATAGATGAGGGATGATTGGCTATCTAACATGTCTATTGTATCCAAGCGCCGGCAAATTCAGTTGTACAACATCGTTTCACGTTTACCATGATAGTGTTTCCATTCAGATACAATTTAGGGAAGTTTAACAACCATTCACTTATTGTTTATCATTTGACAAATAAAGATTGTCAAAATCAATTACCAAATACGAAAACATTAATGTTAATCACTACAAGTTCCTGTGGTGGACAGATGCGGATGAAAGTACGGGGTATATTTTCAGCACTTTACACCTGTACTTCTAAGCATACATAAAACTCTGGTAAGAGCAATAAAGATACTAAGAATAAGTAAGTGAGAATAGCAGGTTCGGTAAAATTTTAAAATTGTTGTCACAAACCTATTTCACAAACAGTTCCTGTATACCCTGGTACGCATTCGCATATGTATTTGTTCACAAGATTTAGACATGTTCCACCATTCTGGCACGGAGAACTCTGACATTCATCAATGTCTTTGATAGAAACGAAAATCACAGAAACAATGATTTTTATAATTATCTAGAATCATTATATTTATGTTCACCTGCCATAGATTAAATCGAAAATTAACTCAAATAATATTATTAATTTTCACAAATTTATGTATGGAAGACGAGTTTTATGATCATTGTCAGGCATGTTACTTTAACAAAATTAAATACACATATAGGATTCAAGTTTGATACAAGAATATTATTGTTAAAACGTTTTCACCTGACTTTTCTAAAATATTTCTCTAACGATTAATAGGGTTATAAAAAACAACAAAAGGAGAACATTTGAAAATAAATCTTTTTTTATTTATACCAGTTTCACACAATGTGCCTGTGAAGCCGTCAACACATGAGCATGTAAACCCATCTGTTGCAACATCTCGATTACAAGTACCAGCATTTCGGCATGGGTCACTGTCACAAGGGTTGACATCTATGTAGATATAGAACAATCACTGTGTTTCAGTCAGTATAAAGTCACAAAAAGTCACTATTAAAAAATCCAACCAACTAAATTTAACTAAATTTAAATGTATTAACAACTTAATAGATTAATAATTAAGGTTCTCCTTACATTGTTTTACGTTTACTACAATATTATTTCCGTTCAGTGACAATAAAGGGACGTTTAACTTCCATTTACACATTTGTGTTAACATTTGATAAATTAAGGCTGTCAAAATCAATTACCGAAAACGATAATCTGCACACAGTGGGGATCTGTACTAATTCTGAAAAAAAGCGAACAAAATGTTGATTTATGAATTAAGATAACATTGAAGTTGTTTACTTACCGATTCCTTTTTTTATAATAAATCTATTGATACAGTTTGACACTTAATTTTAAAGGATCAATTGCAGAGCACACTGTAAATAAAAAGATTACCAAAGTAAACACCCATAACTCTCATATAACAGTGAGTAATTTAACATTATAAAAAAATGAAGAAAAATGTAAATTTAAAAATGTCTTAGCTCTTGACATATTGTCAAATATTAAGGTGATTAAATACCCAAAAGAATCGGTTGCATCAGCGCACAATGCGTGGTGTCCAGTTTGAGTCAAAGAAGGTGTCCAAGTGACTGAAAATTTATAAACGTCTGTTTGTCCAGTTACAGCACTGATTGGGGACTTTTTAATTCCAGGTGGACCAGCCAGAGCGAATGAAGACACACTATGAAAAGAGAAAGAATAAAGGTTTAATAAAAACATTAATAAAAGTTATTACACATATTAAGTATATACTATTGCAAAAACATTTTATAGCTAAATGTGTAAATGATAGTATAGCGTTTCAATGTTTTTCATTTTTGGTTTGTAATTATTATTATTTTCTTTTTCTTTCTTTTACAAAATTAATACACGGTTTTTCGTATGCAGTAACACATTCAGTCCCAATCAAAATTAGGACAGGTCATTATCTGTTATAATTGGTATAATTGGAGCAATATTAACTTGATGGATTATTAGGTTTTTAAAAACGATTGTAATCGTATCAAAACCTCACAGATTAAGTAGAATTTACGTTTTATTTTGTACAGCACGTTCTATCAAACACAATTTAACATTCAGATATCTTAGCTTTAAACAAAAAGAGCGAACTCGTATTGAAATCAAAATATATTACTTTGCACCGATCGATTGCACATAGTAATTGATAACAAGTTGTGTTCCAGCTCGTTGGTTTATATCCACCGTTCCTGATGGTGTAGGGAGAATATACTTTGGTCTATCATTGCACTGTCGAGATGGGATACTCGGAGTTTCGACGAGAAACTATAAAAGCATAGATTATTTACAAAAACAACATACAACAACACCTCTCTTAAGGCATAAATAGACGCATTAGTAGAACAACCGACTAACCCCCTAATTGATTAAAACTGTAAGTATGGTAAAATATTTCCTGTACAATCATGCTCTAATTCATTGCAAGTTCTCTACAAGTGATAACTTGACAATATCGTCAGACTGAGGTTTAACTTGCAAAACTGAAGTATAGAAATGAATTTAAAAGAAAATTAAAAAAAATTTGAGTAAACAAATGTCATTCAGTCATTAAAATATTAATATTTTAAAGTAAGTCAACGAGGTGAATGAAAAGGAAAAAAAAAGAAAAAACAACTTACTTGGACAGGAACCCTAGATAAGACATCTGTCGTTTTATATGTTACTCCGCCAATCTGTATATCCTTCTTGGGTGTGTCTTCGATCATCAAAGCCACGGCATATATTCCGCCGGCTTTATGAGTTGCATTGAAAGATAAGGTGCAGGCATTCTGAAAAAAACATTAATACTATTAAAATAATTCATCGGCATGATAATATGGAAAACATAACAAAAAATCCATGGAAATTAACAAAAAATATACACGGTGTAAGAATACAAGTGTAAAGAGTATAAATAGTTTAAATGTCTTGATCGAATTGCAATGTTTGTAAATTTATGTAATCTGATGATATAATATTATCTTTAATCCGATCTTTATCGTCTCCTTTTAAGGGCTTGAGTGATAAACGAAATGGCTTTCCATATTTGCAAATATTTATAAAATAAAATCATCGGCTTATGACGTTCAACTCAAATGAATTGCATTTCATGTTTAGTAAATATTTTGTACCTCATTTAAAACAGCGTTTGGAATGGCGTTGCAAACAGATCCGCAATCGGTACCGCTTGCCCATTTACATCGGATGTTATCGTTGTCATCGTCCGAAACTTGTAGCTTTATCGTAGTGGCGCATCCAAATTTTACACTTCATAAATATAATGACTTATAAAAAATTGTTTATAATCGATTATGTTTCACTTTATTGACAAAAACAACAATTTTTCTCTACCTTTAGAAAAAGACATACATATTTTGTAACTGTCATGTAGCTAATCTGTAAAAGATCTTCCTACAATTGGTTTGAACTTTAGCTACCTTCTTTAAACGTCTCCTTTTAAAAATTGAAATGAACCTCTTATCGAATCCTTTATAAAATCGCGAATCTCATATAAATTTATCAAATAAATCATCAATTATCATATTCTTATTTGATCTACTTTACGATAATAAAAAAACAGATAATTATTCTATTTCAGTTGGATATCATTTATTGATATATAGTCAGTATACAAATATTTCCGAATTATTTTGTTAAGGAAGGGTGTAGTTTTTACCTGTATATTGGATATCCAGTGTAAGCCGGGCTAGAATTTGGCTTATCTATATCTGACCGTTTCCGTAAATCCACTTGAGTAGATATATTCCATCCATTTCCTCCAGACCCAAAATCTAGACTTATCCAACAACAACCGCTGTATCTTTAACACAAGAACAACACTTACATTAACAAGTTTAAGTCTAACGAGGCATAGATAACCATTGTGTATCAAAGTTATATAAAATAAACATAAGTCATTATTATGCTAAATAAATAAGGTAATGACAATGATTATGATGATAAAGATGAATTTGATGATGATGATCATGTTATGTTTTGTTATTTTTGTTTTCAGATAATACAGATTGCAAATACAATTTGCTACCGACATGGATATAACAATGTTACATATTGCTGATGATGATCGTCATCATTAAAATGATGAGAATGAATATATACAGTTGAAGTTTCAGGTAAAAATAATATTTAGTTGATATTTTGTAGTTATGAAGTAACAAATTTTGGAATAACATTTCAATCCATACTGAATTGTAAATATCCCAGCATGATCAAAGGTATATGCAAATGTATATTCCCCTTGCTCCCAGTTATGTGGCTGACTTGCCGAGCTACAAGTATAACCGGCCGAGGATATTGTTGCCAATGTCTTGCACCCTGATATACATCTCCATGCAAAATTTGTTCTGTTCACATATTGACCAGAGAGAAGTTCCGTACATCCAGCGCCGCTTCCGTATGTCCAACCCAATTTATCTGTAAATTGGACCTGAACAAAATGTAACAAACAAACAAAAATTTTAGCAAGTATAGTTTGCAAACCAATATAGATTATCTCTTATTATCCAAAGATTTATCATTTAGGACAGAAACTTAAGTGTAAAAATATCTAAATCTTTCAATTTTGAAATTGGCATCAATAAAAGCAACTCCATTGAACATATCAATTTAACTTCATGTTCTCTAATTACGTTCGTACATAAAAGAACTCGTCACATTTGAGTATACTAATAGATAACGTTATTTAGAGTCATAAGACATTTTATGCAAACAACAATTATAAGAAACTAAAATTTATGATAAAAGTAAGAAAGTAAAAAACCTCCAAATATTTTTCGGTAGGTCTCCAACTAATTGTACCGCCTCGGAAATGGCTACAGTCGTAACCAGTTAACATATAAAGAAATGTAATCAGTAAAATAGTAACATCCATCCCTTCTGGTAAGTACGATGTAAATGTGCATATTGATATATGTTTATATACTTTATACTTGCGGAAAGTCTAATATTTACTTGACAATATTCAATGACATTGCACGAAATGAGGAAGTTGCAAACGTAAGTGTGCTTGTACATAAACAGAAAGAAGAGTAGCTATTGGATAGATAAAATTATACGTTTGCAACTAAAGACGTTACTTAACATTTTGTCAGATTGTCATATATTTTTATATACTCATGTCATTATTAAGTGTGTTGTAAATTAATAGAAGGCTCACATTCTTTAGGTCACAATTTCTATTAAAAGCATTAAATGAGATGGCGAAACAGAACTATTGACAAAACATCAACACATTGTTTCAGCCTTAAAGTGATATAGAACTAACACGCTTTTCATCCCAATTGTTTCAATAATTTATAATAAAAATAAGTTTATGTCTTAGTTAAACTTGAAAGTTGCCACATGGCCTCTACGGCGTTGGTGCGACGTAAAACTACAGACAAAAAGTATATTTAATACTTAAAACAAAATAACTGAACAAATAAAATTAATGACAATGAATATACTTTTAAAAAGCTGGCAAGTGAATACAAACGGATGATATTGTGCAATGAAAGTAAAGTAAATTATTGCAATTGTATTATAATTACAGTTATGCCGCAACACAACACTATGATGTTTATAAGGGCTTCTGCATTATTTGTGACCTATGATTGTTCCACTGATGTTGCACTGTTATTGCATGGATAGTGATGTCACTGCACCAGTTCGCTGTTTTAGCACGTGCTAACTATTGTGTTGAACAACTTTGGCTGTTGTTGCTCGAATAGTGTTGTTTCTGTTTTCTCCTGTTAATTAACAAGTTATATTGTTATTTCACTGTTGCTGGACAAGCTGTGCTAATTTTGTGTGTGCAATATAGTTGATGGCTGAGATTCGCTCGTGCAGCAAGTGCTATTTTGTTTGTGTACAAGTTGCATTTTTGCTACAGGAGCTACGCTTCTTCTACATCAGTTTTGCTGTACAAAATACATGAACTCTGTTACTATACAAGCTGCATTTTTACTCTGCAAGTTCTGCATTAACTACTCAAGTGTTGCTTTTGCACAGCAAAATACACTTTATCTACATGAATTAGGCGTTTGCTGCACAAGATAATCTGTTACTGCACGAATTGGCTAGTAGGTGTCTGAGTTTAAATGCACGAAAGCACTTTCATTCGCTGCAAGGGTTGCATTTTTGCTGCGTATGTTGAACTTTTGCTGCACGAGTTGCAGTTGTGCTATACAAGTTGTATTTTTAATGCATGTATCATAAAAAGTTTTTTTACAAACAAATTCATTTGAAAAAAAAGGGCTTCAAACTACTTAAAATGCTTTGATGATGTACACAAATAATTTGTTCGAATTTTTCTTTTCATCTTTTTTTATATTTTTATTTAATTAATTTTAATTTTAGACTCGACTATGTATTGGTTACCGAATCAAAGCTGTAAGGAAGACATACCTTTTTATGTTGTGTTTCCTTGTTGACATGTAAATACAGCTAAACCAATAGCAAAATACATTTTCATTTAAAGGTTTACAATCTTATAGTCAATTCATAAGACATTCTCCTTTTATCTGGCAGTGATGAATTTATTGCATAATAAAGATGAAGTGTAAATGATGACAGAGATTGGATCATTCGATCTTGTTTAAATTGAGGCTTTAGTTTTTCAATTTTTCCTTGTATTAGACAAATATATTGAAGTATTGTATAAGGTGTAACGTTCAACCGAAATAAATTCAAAATGTTCGTTATACATATTAACCGTTTATGATGTAATCATGCAACGGACTTTTACACGGCTCGTTGTTACGGCATTGGACCGTGAACTGGATATAATTTTATTTTAGTCTAAAAAATCGGATAAAATTACCAGAGGCAAGACATTTCGATTGATTTGCTCATATGACAATAATTTGACATGGGTTTGATTTTATATTTCTCTTATTACATACCAGATATGAAATATTTACAAGTATCAGGAAAGAAAATTTAATGTACATTTTGTAAAAGAATCATCGTTAGACAGTTGTCCCAAAAACATTTCCGTGTACTCATATGCAAAAATGTTTAGTGATATAAAATTTTCCTACAGACGGCAGAATATGCACGTTGTCTGTATTAAAATATATGTTAAAGTGAGGTGAAATGACTGGCTAAATGCTTTATTCATAATTTCCAATTATTTTAAGTATAATCAGCATCGTCAAAATCACCATTATTTTAATCATCAATAATTGTCAAAAAAGGAACATCAGACGGAGTAAATATTTTGTTATCTGATACAGAAAGAAACTAGTATATGTTTTGTATTTAGAACATAATTTCGTCCCGTGAGCATTGGAGCTTTTTGTTTACAAAAGTACGACACAACTTTGTATTAAAGGGACTCCACTGAGGTCCAAAAGCCTAAAAACATAAAATTCGAATTTCTTACATAAATGAAATGGGCGCTTAAAAAAGAAAGATATGCAAAACAATAATTAAGAAATATACTCAGAAGTTTATTGAAACATTTTTGTGTCGGATTAGAGTGAAACGCTTTGCATTGCTTTTCAATGTTTAGTCATTTGTCACAGTTAGATTTACTATAATTCTGGAAAGAAGAGGTAGCGAATAAACTGACATTTTGCACTCAAGTTATTAGTCTATATATGCATAAAACAGAACATTCTTGGAAAATTATTTCGAGTTCGGTCTTGTAAAAAAAAACCTCAATGGAGTCCTGTAAGTCATATCTATCATTAATTAAGAAAATATAAAATCCCATCACAATTTAGTGTCATATGAATTTTTCTTACCCCGAATTTGTTTTTACACAATTCACGGTTATATACGTGGTACGGGTCCATACCATGGGTGTTGTAAATACGATAGTTCTGTAAAGAATTCTTTCATTTCCAGTTATCTTAACACCCGTACATTGACTAATATTTCAATTTTATTTCATGAAATGAATTGTCATTCTTAAAATGCTGTTTTATGTATATTCTGCAATAGTTCAGTTTGTTGTAGAAGCATTTGAAAAGTACTTAGAGCCTGAAAGTGGACAGTGAGCAAATTTTCTATAAATATTAAAAAAAATGTTTGATATTTAATATTCGAATATTTTCAACATAATTATTTATTGTATTTCATATCTTTTATTATAAACATTTCAACTTTACCCTTACGTCAATAAACACACCGCCTTCCCTTTTTACTACTATTTACTATTTATTCCTTACATACAACACTTTCCTTTTTTACTAATATTTACTATTTATACCTTACCTTTATTTAAAATGCAACAAAACATATCGTATTTACAAACGCATAAGGGAAATAATTGAAAGAAAAAACGTTTCTTGTCGATTTGCATTTAATTCCCTTGACTGCGAAAGTGTCGGGAAGAGTAAACTGCATTCTGCTTCAGGGGAGTATATTTTACTCATTAACCTTATCCATTATGATCTTTCTTTTGCTGTGTGTGTATTTGGAGCGATTGAAATTTACAAATACATATGGTATATATCAACGTTTGCATTCATAAGGGTCCTTCAAGCCTTTTGATGGTACTTACTGTTAGTGTAACATAACTATGTGTTTACTTATTATAAAAGGATAATATAAGGGCTAAGTATACATGATTTTGGGCTGCATTAAAATGTGTAAACTTTAAAAAACAATTCTCACATTGTTATTATTAGAAATGAAAAGTGTTAGGTTAACATTCAATAGACTCACTTTTATCATTTACTTATACTTTGTTTGATATATTTGCTGTGTCTACTTATTATTTGAATTGTTTTTAATATATTATAAATCAGTTTGTCAAAGTTAATCTAAAATAACAAAAAACAACACTAATATGTATGACGTTTGTTGTTAGAACTACATTTTTTGTGTAAACTTTCTTTTCGCAATCTTTATAAAAGTTGGAATCCTTGCAACACTATTAATTACATGACAGCCACTACTGGTTTTATAAACGATATGTTATGTAAAGGCAACTTTCATCTCTGGTGTATAAGCTAGGTTTTTGTTGTATTGCTTTTCTATTTTTTTCATAATCATAACTATAAGAAAATTGGTGATACTTCACACATTGATATCAATAGTTTGAATCTAAACGAACGGATATGAATTTCAGTTATCATGTCCCTTTACATAATCGATAACGTTTTTATAATAGATTCTAATAAAAATATTGTAACCATTTGCATGCAACTCACGTGATTTTCTAGAGCTTGATACAAACTGAAAATTATTGAATACAACTTTAAACAAAACCATCATGAAGTACAAAAAAATGAGTTTACATGTGTTTATGTATTAAAGTAATAAGACGTTCATAACCAATACGTATCTTATACAATGATTGGCATAGTCGTTAATTAATTATCTAAAGATCGTTGAATTGGCCGCGTTGGTTTAAACCGTGTAAGGGACAAACCGTTGTTTCTTTGAGCAAAAACTTTTCACGCACTGCTTAATACTGGTTGGTTCCAGGAATGGATTCGAGAGTGTTTCAATAAGCATATAGCATTCAACACAATTGGACTAAAAGAACTTCGGGTAACTAAACATATGTTTGAAATTATATTTAACATTCCAATATACGTCGTACGTTTCGAAAGATGTTTGTTATCGGTATTAAACAATATGGGACGGAAACTTTTAATATTCCTGCCCTTCAGGAGTACATAATCCCATGTCTTATAATTCGCGATGTTAATCAGTTGAAATACGTATGTTTTTTTCCAAAATTAATTAGCAAAAAGATAAGAAGAAAAGGCAAGGTCTGTAATACAAAGATATAATTCAATTTATAAATTGCATGACTAATTAAAGTGATAAAGCGACAGATAATCAGCAGTACATTCATCTTTTATAATGTAATAATCAAATGTATTGTTTTCTTTAATGTATAAACTTCAACTTCAAATGTTATTGTTTCAAGACGATGTTGTCCAAATACATGTATATATTGACAACAAACAAAAACGTGTGCAATATAGAGTTTCGCAATTTCTTCCTACTTTTTAAAGAGCAACCACGGAGGTGGTGGATCTTTCATATTCTTGACAACACAAGCCCAACATTTACGATGCCTTGGTGTGATAGTATCCTCTTTTTTAGTACATGCAGTTTCAACTGGTGCCTCTTTCGTATTGGCTTTTTCCACAGTGTCTTTGTCGGCATCAAGTTGGGATTGATCATCTAGATCATCATGCTGAAAGCAGGGACCTTGTTTGTTAAATATACACTCTATGAATGTGTAAGCTAACACGGCGGTTAAAATTCCAAGGGTAACCCCAACAACACCGAAGCCGATACCCTTCTTTTTGTTATAAACATAGCAAAGCTCTTGTTTTCCGTGTCCGAGAAAACAGTCACAGCTAGAGTAATGCATGTAATCTGTAGTCTGTAAATAGAAAATGTGTTCATTTTCATCATTGAATTAGTAAATTTCATATTCTCATTTTAACAAAATTATTCTTGGCAATGCAACTATAATAATAATATTAACTGCTATGAAAGTACATCATCTTTTTTAACAGACAAGTCCTTTCTTATGATTTATTATTTCATTTACATTAAATACCATTGAGCCGTTGACTGGAAAATACAAACTAGTAAGTACCATTAGTGTTTCGTTGTAATATGTCTCATTTTCATGCCGGATTGCGCAGTGAGAACCATACCAGCCCTCTGAGCATGCGCATTCATAACCGGTAGTCTCATTGTATAGACACATCGCACCGTTCTCACATGGGTTGGACTTACATAGATCGATACCTATCATGTAATATGACTTATCATTAAAATGTTAGTATGAAGTTAATGTATGTGATTAATGATTAAAGATGTACTCTCCTTTAATCTAAAAAAATCAGTTACAAACTTTATTTGTTTGTGTGTGTGTGTTTTCCTTTATATCGCTATTATGTTAACAAATCATACGATTTGCGATTGCTCGTAAGGTAATTGCTTCGTTATTATTATCGAATATAATAAATCGCGATGAACAATTTAAAATAACAAGAAGTGAAATTCACAAAAGAAACAGAAGTAAATAAATGAATAAATAAGTAAATAAATAAATAAATACATACATACATACATAATGTTATTTAAACAAAATTATCATGGCTTAAATATTATGTCATCTTAGTATTGTATATTTTTCTGGTTCTTTGGGTTTGTTAATTCTAAAATTACTATCACTTTTAAACAGACTTACCAAAACCGAGTCTGTGTATCATCACATATTTTCTTTGCTTTTATTGCCCCTAAAGCAACGGCTCTTTCAAGATTATCAATAAAAGTAAAACATTCAGTACCTGTTTGACAAAGTTCCCCTGTAAAGCCAGGGATACAGTCACATACAGCTTTGATAACGAGGTCATGACAAGTGCCTCCATTTGCGCAAGTCCGAATCTTGCACTCATCTATATCTAAAATGTAAAACGGTTTGTGTATTCGGTATTGGTATCACGATTAATTTACTTTTAGAATTAAAATCTAAAAATGTCAAACTGTCATTTAAGTTGGTTATTAAAAAGTTACTATAAAAAAGAGTCACAATTTTCTGGATTTATCTGGATGCTATCCATATTGAATTTTAAACATTGAAACATCATTGTGTCTAGTATTGATTTTCAATACTTTAAGAGTTCAAACTCAAGGGAGTTGATATTGTAATATTTTTCATGATCACCATTACCTGTCTGACAATTGACGTCAGTGTAACCAGGGACGCAGCCACAAAAATATTCGTTTATGAGGTCAAAACATGTTGCACCATTCAAACAAGGGTTACTCGCGCATTCGTTTATATCTGAAAGAAACATAGATTCATATTTGATTAATGGTGGAACTGGTTAGTTTGAAAACGATAATAAATATGGATTCAAATTGTAGAATAGAACACAGATAATGCAGCCACACACAAGTAACAATCATTACAATGCAAAAAGCTTAAAACAGTGCGTATTATTCAAGTACGTTGCCGGTAGAGCTTCCAAACAGTTTTCCGAAGAACCTTGGTTAGAGTTCGGTTCGGGCTGAACATTTATTTATCCTTCTGAAAGATAAATTTAACAAATCAGATTTGTTTATATTTATATGGTTGTTTACTGTAATTAACTTAGGATAAATGACTAATCTTACCCGTTTGACATTGAAGACCCGTATATCCAGGAAGACAATCACATACAAAATCTTGCGTGTAGCCAATTCGAGAACAGGTACCATTGTGTGTACATGGAGCACTGGTGCAAGGGTTGATATCTAAAATGTATCTTGGTATATTGATATATTTTATACATTTGTATTTCATGGTAGGATAACCTCGGGTTTTGATAAATGAACTTTCTGAATCTGATTCGATGTCATTAAAAATGCTTCGTTTTCTTTTAGTGAAATAGAATAAGATTGCAAAAAATAGATTTCATTTTATGAAAAGAATGTGTTCAAAATTATACCCCATGCAGCTATCGTCACGCATCGCATATCACTACTGATTCTGTAAAAGAATAAGACAATCTTTTTATATGATATAGAACATCATTCCATATCAAAGTTAGACTTCAAATGTAATGAAAGCATCCGTTTGACTAAAGATGTATTTCCACTTTACAAGTCGGTGTTATGTTTAGTTCTTTTTTATCTCCGGAATACGAAAATAAGAGTCTATGAACAATGCCAAAAACAGAGAGATTGAAAATATTGCAGGTTCGCTTTCATATCACCTGTTCATGGACAGTAGTTGTGAAAACAAGTTCCGAAGCTGATAAATAGATTAACAGAAGCCTAATGATCACTTACTTGTAGGCATCTGTTGCTTCAGCACACAACGACTGAGGGCCTCTATCTGATGCAGAAGGGGTCCATGTCACGTCAATTGAATAAACACCCGGGCTCAAAGACAATTGTCTTATTGATGATTTCCGCAGGCCAGGTGGTCCAATCAACAGAAACGATCTTATGCTAAAAATACATAACGGTAAAAGTTGTAAGAAATGCAGGATTATTTATGTTTTTCTTTGAAAAGAGCATTAGTTAAACAGACAAAGATGACGTTGCTTAAACGGTGTACAACAATAATACTAATGCTAACAGCTTTTATTAAGTAAAACTATTTCAAATTCTGAGAAAAAATATACCAAGTTAAAAGCCATCAAAGGAAACCTGTTATAAAAGTAATCTTCCTATTCTGGAGTTTCTACGAATTAACTTAAACTTACAAGATTGTCTAGTGTATGGCATAGAGAATTTACATACCTGATTCCTCTGATGTGACATAGGACATCAACACACTGGTTCCCCTCGAAAAGACAAAATGCATAATGCTTGTTCCACTCGATATGGTATAGTACATAAACATACACGATTTCCATCGATTTGACATGAAGGATTAACACATTTTAAACTGGTTCCCCTATATTTGACATAGAGCATTAACATACCTGGTTCCCCTCCATTTGGCATAAAGCATGAACATAGCTTGAATATGGCATGGAGAATTGACATACCTAGTTCCCCTCGATGTGGCATAGAAGCTAACATACAGTGACCCGCCTGGTTGAACAACAATCACGGCCGATTCTGCAGGTGTTGGGTTTACAAAGACAGGCCTATCAGAGCATGATCGAGATTCAATATCAGGTGTTTTTACAAGAAACTGGAATAAATATATAGTTAACTATTGAATTTTCATTGTTGTAGATAGTACTTATTTTATATTATAAAACTGCTATATTTACTGATAAATTGATATTACATGTATATTATTTTCAGAAACCAGTTTAAAATGGGATTAAATATATTTGCTTGTGGCTACTTTATAAGGACGTTCTATGTTATTATAAATTATGTTTGTGAGTGCCATTACAAAATAATGTATTTCTTTTACAAATTGGGCATAAACAGATTGTTAAATCGAAAAAGTCAAAATGGAAAACTTAAAGGCATACCATTGCAACAAAATTGAGTATATTGTAGGATCTGATTGATTTGGCTGTTTGGTTGTAATAAAGTGCTAACAATTTTGATACACAAGTTTCAAAAGTGGAGTATTATCCGTGGCAATAAGAAACCTTTGAATATCAAATCTTACAAAAGTCAGTTTTAAACAATATCTAAAACTGAACAATTTCACCATTTCTATCTTTCCTTTCAATAAATCAAGAAACATGTGCATTTACTTTAAAAGAAGATAATCTACAATTGCATCATATTTGTAAAGGTTTGATTTGAAAAGCAAGTTATAGATTCTATGTACGTATATATATTTTGAAATATTTAGTTTTCATAACAAACCTGCAGTGGTACTGATGACAGCACATTTTGCGGTGTAAATTGGCGTCCACTCAATGTAATGGTTGTTTTTGGTTTGTCCTCTACCATGATCGCCACAGCGTATATATCGCCAGCTCCTGTAGTCGCAGATATTGTCAGCGTGCACTTATTCTAAGATATTTTATAAAACATTAGAACATGGTCAAGAATTTATCTGTCAATGATAATATATGGTAAACCCATCTATGGTTCTACGCTTCAATGCATTAAAGTTACGGACCTTTTGATAATGATATCCATCAGCTATTCTAAGAGTCCATTATACAAAAGAAATACTAATGATTCATTTACCAAAATAAGATTTTGCTTCTGTTGTTTGACATTAAAGACATTATAATGATTAAGTATTTTGCATCCGAGTAAAAAAACTTCTTTGTGTTCATTTTGCTACTTTTATGACAAATAATTGTAATTTAGCGCTATTTTCTCAAGGTAACAAGCATCTCACATGCTTTAAAACAATTACTTAAACTTTGAAAAATCTGTTTAAAGAGGGAAACATTTATTCGTTTCTAAGACAATAATATGTTCCTTTAAAGAATAATTTATATTACAAGCACTGTGTAGACACCGTACTTCGGATTACATTTTGTGGCTTAGACCTACGTAGTGTTTCAATTTGAAATGATATTTACTAATAAAGTACATGTACTTCAAAACTACATATACGGGTAAGTTTATCATATATTAACGGCGAAATAGAAAACCGTTTTTTTAAGGTAGAACGCGACAGTTTGCGAACTTTCGAGTAGCGTCTTGAAAATTGGTATGCAGAAAGTTGACCATATTTCTGATTTGATTCCTTTGATTTTATTCAAACAGTTTCAGCCACTTTTGTGTATTTTGGCAACCTAAATCAATTACATAAGAATGTGATATCTGAGCCGCGTAACGACAAAACCAACATAATGCGTTTGCGACTAGCATGCATCCAGACCAGCCTGCGCATCCGCGCAGTCTGATCAGGGCTTACCAACTCTATTACAAGTAGAGAAACTGATAGTGAACAGCATGGATCCTGGTCAGACTGCTCGGACGCGCAGACTGGTCTGGATCCATGCTGGTTGCAAACGCACTATGCTGTTTTTTTCATGGCGCGGCTCATTTATTTTAATTTAGGCAATGGAAACATTTGTCCAAAAATGTTCTTTTCAGTAAATCAATACACAATATCTATTGGAAAACGTGTATTCATGTATCCTTTTCAAGTTACTCTTGACATCTGTAACCTTTCATTTTCTGATCTTTGTTGCATATAATGCCTCGGAAATGAATAATTTTGTTTGATTCCTCAGAGTGGGAAAACATTGTTTAATTATGACTGTGTTCATTGAACGCCGCCTTTCCTTGTTGATCTTGTTTATCATATTTTTTACTAATGAATTTAAAGCATGTAAGATGCTTATCTCAAGTAGCACTGAATGTGACGAATGTACCATACCTCGTCTAAAACTGCGTTTGGAATCCTTCTACAAGCAGAGCTGCATTCGTTCCCAGATGCCCACCTACATCTAATGTTGTCGCCATCTTGATCTAAGACAGGTATTTTGATTGTTTGTGTGCATCCATATTTGACACTGTCACAGCACGAGTGTTAAGATAAAACAGAAGGTTAAATAATATTCAACATATTATGTTTAATTACTATTAAGGTATTTAGTAAATCCAGTATTTGGCCAATGCTGTTCACGTTTGGTAGAATAAAATGTAATTAAAAATTGCAGTGACATTACATATATATCGAAGAAATGTACAGTTATTGGAAAGCAATGTATTAAATGATTAAGAAAATTAAATCATAGATTTTCAAAAAACATTTAGCGTCACATATGTATTCCTCCAAAGTGATAAATTTTATTCTTATGAAGCAACAAGCGTACTATAGTTAGTAAACATACATGTACAATGGTTTCCCTGCTGTAACTGGGCTACTGTTAGGAACTTTTAAATCCGATCGGGTCCCTAAATCAACCGTTGTTGGTAAATTCCATGAACCATCACCTGTTCCATAGTCAAGGTCAATCCAACAACAGGCATAGTAGCTATATAATGTAACATTTCAATACTATTATTGAGTAATAAAGAAATAGAGATGAATATTTCAAAGACATCTAGTTAGAGTGGCAATTAATAACACAAAACATAATGCATATATATATATATAGTTAACATTATATATAATAAGGTGGTAGGCTGGTCTCTGTGGTTGAATCGTTAAGGTGAGCGAATAATCACTTGCCCCTGAAAGTTGTGGGTTCGAATCCCGTCAGTATGGTTTCATGTGATGAACTTGATGAGCATTGGTGGTTAAAACTCAGGTGCGTGCACTCTTGCGCCTGAAAACATAATTACACGAATATGCACTCGATGTCTTTCTCCGCCAGTGAAGTTGGAAATTCGCTGTATGACCTTTACCATCTCGTAGTGACTACAATTTTATAAAAGCAAATACACTAAGAGCGTTACATGAATTACATAACAATATTTCACATTTATTAAGTACATACAAACAGTATTAACTATCACGGCTAATTTTGTGCCCGGCATTGCTAATACAAGAACACATATTTCAATAAAATGTTACGCCAGAGAATACTTCTATCAAGTGCTTCACAACGCATATCGTATAGCAAAATTTGATTACCTGACTGTAAAAGGTCCACTTTTACTAAACGTATATCTAAACGTGTATTCACCTAGTTCCCAATTCTCTGATGAACTCACTGCGGTACAAATATATCCCTTTGAAGACAGAACTGTACCTGAACCTGCACAGCCAGATGTGCATTCCCATGAAAAGGTTGTATTGTCTACGTATCTTCCGATTAGAGATGGGGTACATCCTATCCCATAGGTATGCCTCCATCCGAGCTTGTACTTGAATTCAACCTGGATATGAATTTTTGTAGTATTTATATACACATATTTCGATAGAAGTTTTAAATAAATAAAATGAAACATTGTGCTTAGGATAAAATATATCATTACAGAAAAAATCACTCCAATTATATTTTTCCCTATAACTTAGCTGGTGGATTTCAAACTCAAGGTATTTACAAATAATGTCTATAACCTTTAGTTAAGATCATAGAATTATTTTTGTTTCACATGAAATATTATTCAAAGGGACTTCATTAAGGTGTTTTGCAAGGCAGTTCAGAAATTTGTTCCACTTGATGTATATCTAAACCAATAGCGTGTTTGCAAAATAAATTTCAGATCATTCACTCAAATTAGGCTCACAATTGTTCAAAAACTACTATTTTCAATTTATTTCTTGGTATATATATTATATTTTGCAAATATTGGTGTTTTAAATGCCCCAGCTGATCTATGTTAAATATTCAACTTTTATGTTTTTTTAGGATTTTCAACATCAGTGGATATTCTTTCAATACTACAAAATGACTGAATTAAAAAAATCGTTAAACTATATTAGATAATTGTAAAAGCCATTCTTTTGTCCGTGGTGATTACCATAAAAACAATTACATATTAATTATTTTTTAATTTTTTACGTTTTCATTGATTTTTAAAAAAAAATTTATTTACTTTTTCGATGTGTCTTTTATTAGTTTATTATTAATATTCAAATTTCGATTCCTTCAGAATTATAATTATAATACATTATTCCATTGATAGTTACAAGAAAAAAATTACTTCATATTTATTCCCTGTTGGTTTCCAACTGATTGTACCACCACGAAAATGATCACAGTGGCATGGCATGAATGAAAGTGTTAATATAAAAACACAAATGTTAAAGAATAATTCCATTGCATTGCTTTTGAAAGGGTGACTTTTTTCAGACACGGGATTTCAAAGCCTTATATACTTATATCATATCTTGCCTCTTCGTTTCTGCCCTACTTTCTCTAATACAGACATACGATCAACCAATCACATGCCTTGAAATTTTAGTGCAATGTATTATGACATTTGTTGACCTTAAACAGAAATTTTTAGTTCTCTATGTAATAAGTATTTTCCCTACACAAATACGGAAATCTTTGATAAAACAAATCACTTAAAAAGTAATTAGAAACACAAAAGTGCCGCTATAGAATTTCCTTTATCTATTGTTGGATTTACTGCAAGCGTTCTTTTTTCCTTTCTTTCTTTTCATATTTGGTGTTGGTGGGGAAGGATATTTATTTATTTATTTATTTATTTATTTATTTATTTATTTATTTATTTATTTATTTATTTATTTATTCATTTATTAATTTTCATCTTATCTTTATTTTTTTATGTTATTGATTGATTGATTTTTAATGTAAGATTGCCATATTTTTGACATGATTGATATGTATATTATTGAAAGTGTATAATCTTTTTCCGTTTTTTGTTAGTTTTCTGTCATTCAACTGCAATCAAAGCATTAAATTTTTAATATTATTTTAAGCCGACGATCTTAATCTATCAACATGTGGTACAAGTTTAGGAAAGCAATCTATCAATATTTATTTAAGTACTTCCTGGACACATGCCAATCACATGCCATTTCTAAAATATATATCAACATAACTTATCAATTTGTTATCATGATAGAAAGGACAGTATCTTATAGTGATACGACAAATAAGAAATACTATCGTCGGTCGCGTAATGATAAGTGTTCCTGTTTGAAGATAGGAGATAGTGTTTGATAAACTTAATGCTATTCAAATACTTCTCGGTTACTGACAAAAACATATGAAAGGTCACAACTCACAATTTATTTACTTTTGATATAAAATACTACTAATTGTACTCTCTTGAAAAAGTCGAAACGATAAAAAGAAATAAATTTGAAAAAGACAAGTTAAATCGGACAGAAGGAAATAATTAATTTCGTCTACAATCGTCATATATCCGGAAGTTAATCAGCACTTTTTAAAACTTCTGCTCTTCTGCTTTTGAATTTTTATATCACAGGTACCCTCTCATTTTTAAACACACATAGGTACCCTCAATGCACGACATATGCTTTTATTAGCGTTAATCGTTAAGTATGAAATATTTACATAAAAGTAAGAAATATTACATACCTAACGATTAACGCAAATAAAAGCATACATATATGTCGTGCCTTGAGGGTATGTGTGTTTAAAAATGAGAGGGTACCTGTGATATAAAAATTCAAATGAAGAGAGGTAGCCCGTGCCGCTGCAAAACCGAAAGTAGGGTGTTTTTATGAATTTTACATTTATTTTTGACAATGCATTGCCATTTGTCCAAAGATGATATGTAAATGAACATATCAAATATGTATGATGCATATATAATCAAGCCACAGGTTAATTTCAGCCCAAAAAATATGTCGAGGTGATGGGCGAAGCAAGACATGTCGATTTTTTGTAGCTTATTGTGAATTTGTAGTACATGAAAAACGGGCACATGACAAATCAGCACATAGATAAAACATTCTAGTGTTCCGTGGTATACATCTTTTCTACGTGTCATACCTTCTTTCCTTATTATATTGAAATTTTACTGTATGGTTATCCATCGCAGGTTTGTTTTTAGCAGAGAGTGGCCTGTGCATGTGCAAAGAGGGTACCGTTTCAGCAGATTTCGCAAAGAGGGTACCGATATGGATATGCACCGTGTTCTAACGCTATTAACATTTGTAAACGATTTTGCAACTTCCATTTATGGAATGATCACGGAAATAGACGAAAATTAATAGGCGGAGCCAATTTCACGAAAGCAGAATATAAAGAGAGGTAACTCTTGCTGGTACAAAAATATTTCAAATTATATAGAAACTGTTACATCAATCTTGACTTCGAACATCCTCTGATTTTGTTGAAACGTATTCTAGTACAGGATATTCAAGTAATGCAAAATTGGTTCAGATATAATGTAAAAATGTAACAACGTATATACTGATAATGAGCATAATAATATGCAAAAACTAAAGTTGGTGAAATAACATAAGGAAATGTTTCCCATATATAATGACACACACCACTATTCATTGATATCAATGTAGGGTTTTGTGAGCCACGGCAATACTCTTAAGCATATCTTTTTTTTTACCTTCAGCAAATAGTACTAGAATGCGATACATGGAAGGCACTTTTGGCAACACGAATAAAGAGAACTGAACAATAAGCCTGTGCCTTCTTTCTTTAAAGGACTATGTTGGGTTGTAGAAAAACTCATATTTTTGACCAAGTGTATAACCACGAAACAATGCAAAGTTTACTATCGATAATTCCGTTGTATAACCAAAACTTGTGAATTTGTCCCATTTTAATGTTGAAATAAATATTCAGTGTATCCTGGCAACTCTGTTTACCTCCATTGGGAGGTATTTTGAGTCATAGGATGTGATTAAGCCTTTTATTGTTAAATATATGTAAATTGGCGTAGGTTAAGGTCTTTTTATGCATTGTGCTGAATCAATAGCACCTCTAAAATCTGTGTATACATGCTGTCATTAGCTGTTTCCTAGATTTGCTGTCTAGATTTGCTGTCTATATGATCAACAACAGAGAACTACTTTTATGTACATGAAATACTACACAGAAAATTTATTAAGTTTTGTAAGTGATGGCTTTCTAAGAGATAAAATAAACAAGGTATACATAAATTGATAATCAACATACATACATTTGGACTCATTTAAATTTTACTTATTGAAAAACAAAATGGGGAAAATGGGAAAATACATGGTAAAAATAAAAAGTTATGTACGAAAGGGTACATACAACTTTGGTTATGATTTTACTATTGTTAAAGGTTTTTTTTCTTGTCAAGTCATACGCTAGAATTAAGGTTACTAATATAATAGTACTACTGGGAAAGACAACAGCCAGAATTTGGTCTGTATTAGTAATTAGTCGTATCAAAATCTCTATCAGATGTTGAATTGAAAATTTGAAAGTGGTAAGGTAGCAGTTTATCTGTAAATGTTACTCATTTCTATGCAAATTGGAATACCATCAGTAAAATTTATTTGTCGTTGAATATAGTCTTTTCAATAGTTTTCACTTCCTTGAAAAATATTTAACCTCAGACAGTATGTAACCTGGTGTTTTTTGGTGTTTTTTTTAAGTTTCTTTTTCCAGGAAATGTGGTGTCTACAACGTTTTAAAACTTATATGCCTATGTTCCTTTAAAGTCCGCTGATGTTGATTGTAGGCAATCATGCAAGTGAATTATGTTTAGTAACCAAATGATAAACGGAAACAACGCGACGGTAAATACCGAAAATGAGCGGAAAATACGTTTATTTACGATGATTAAGTGGGCGGTAAAATGGGCGGAGCTTATTTTATCTCCTATTGAAAAACGTGTAAAGCTGGATTATGCTGATCTGAATCATGATGGTTCGACAATGTAAAGCTAAGAATGTAACTTCTGTTTTGAGTATTCGAACACTTGGTATTGCTACAATCAGTTAATGTTTTGTCGTTTAACAAAATGTATTTTGTTGAAATGCTTGTTAATAATGTTAAATCGGCAAACTCAATCCAAGTATGCAACATTGGAGTTTACATACAAAGAAATACAATTGTATTTTTTCCATTAACAAACTGTTCAACTCAGATCAACAAGGCTGGATTTTTGGCAACGAATAGCCTCCATATCAATGATAAGTATAGATTTCAATCATAAGTATATTGATATATTTTCAAGCAAGTGATCCGTCATTGGCGGTTCACCAATTTTGTATGTGTTTGCTTCAATCTTTGCTTCTTCTCCCTGATTTTGATTGAATTTTTGCTCTTTTAATAAATGGACCAAAACTTTGTTTATTTTGGCCTTTCCAAATAATAAACCAGACCTTTGTGTTCTGCCAAATTGATTAACAAATTCTTCGGTAACATCTTCCCTTTTCAAATAGTGAATCAGTTCTTTATGTACTTCAGCCCCTGTAAGAAATGAACCAGATCTTTGATTCATACGACACTTCCAACAGAAGGACCAGAACATTATTTATTTCCGCCCTTCAAAATGATGATTAGTTAATAGATAACTTTTGCCCTTCAAAATGATGATTCGGGTCTTTGTGATAACTTCTGCCCTTTCAAATGATAAACAAGTTATTTGTTTACTACCGACCTTCTGAAATACTACTGAAATGTGTGTAATTATCGAAGTTCTAATATAACGCATAATTTTATATAAATAGTTGACATTTGTTTGTTTTGCTTGTTAAACCAAAATGTACATTGTATATCGCAGAGCGAACACCAGGTACAATATTTTCATGTGTGGATAGCCACGATTAAAAATATAGCATTTTAAACACGTAAACAATATTAAAATGTACAACAGAAATCAAAATCTGGTTCAGTATTATGGGCTAATTATGAAGAACTTTTTTTTGAAATCCGTAACAAGACATCGAAAGTAAGATACTTTCGGAAATAAAAATGAATATCAGTTTGTAGGCTTAATGGGCCTTTAAACTGCAAAGACACATTATGTAACGCTCAAACAGTATTCAAAACATTGTAGTACCGCGGTTATCTTAATACGCGTAAGACATTGCGTGTTAACGCATACATCTGTACAAGTACATGTATGCGTAAGAAGAAGTCATTAAAGAGTAAAATTCAGTGCCAAAGCATAATGATTTAAAATCTTAATTCTAACTTAATAACATTAGAATGCAGATACGTGTTTTTTTTTGTTTTTTTGTTTGTTTTTTTTTTTAATTTCTAGAGCTAGCTTATATGTACATATCAATGTAAATGTTAGTAATTTAAACGGTGTAACATCTTAACCCACTGTTTACTATAGATTATTTTTGTTCGTGTTCAATCATATCATAAAGACAGGGTCATATCTATTTTTAAATCGGTCGTCACGTGATAAATCTCACATGATAATAAAAATGGCTGCTACCAACAAATTTTCATCCACCCGTGAACATCTATTTAAAGTATTAGTGATAGGGGAGTTTGGCGTCGGTAAGTAATTTTGTTTATAAGTTACTTTTAAAATCAGGTTTCATACAGTATTTTAAACGTACATTATGTACATAATAAGGAAAACTACAATTACAATGTATAGTTAAATGTACAATGTATATGCAAATTAACGCTGTTTAAGATTAAATTTTAATGTAAACCGAAAGTAGATAGTTTTAAACCCCAGAATTTTATTGGTTCATGTTAGTGTATATAATTAAAGGTGGTAATCTTAATAAATAGGTATGATTTTAAGCATTTTAAGTGTTTTTAATCTGTAATTTCAGGCAAGACATCTATTATCAGAAGATACGTAGACGGTAAAATTTTAAATATAACTTTATGTTTACACAGCAAGACTTCAATGCAATAGCTGATTATTTGATTTGTTGACCTCACAAGGTGATTAATTTAAATGTTTTGGATTTGTCAAAAAAAAGCTAATAGCTTATAGTTAAACAGATACATGTAAAAGTAAAAATGAATGAAAAGTCATTATATTTTATAGAATATTTTAAACTTGACATGTGTATTTCTTATATCCATTAAGACATGCTTGATAAAAAATACTTTATAAGTAATCAATGTTTAACACTCAGATAAAACATCAAATGGTATATATAGGTAATATCTACGAACAAACTGATTTGTTTATATATCACACCTTTGTTCGTTGGATTAGTCTTTACCAATAGTATAGAACCAAACAACTCTTTACGTTCGTGCTGTCTGGCCAGGCTATATGTGCCGCGTCACGACAAAACCAACGTAATGCGTTTACGACCAGCATGGATCCAGACCAGTCTGCGCATCCGCGCAGCCTGATCAGGATCCATGTTGTTCGCTTACAAACACTATATTACAAGAGGAGAAACTGATAGCGAACAGCATGGATCCTGATCAGACTGCGCGGATGCGCAGGCTGGTCTGGATCCATGCTGGTCGCAAACGCACTATGATGGTTTTGACGTGACGCGGCTCATATATTGTTGACTGTTGGTAACTATGTTCAAATTTTCATCTTGATAATCCCAAACATTGAGAACGGAAATTAAAAAAATATAAATTAAAGAAATTCAGCAGGTTAAGGATTAATTACTTCTGGTTTTTCAGAGCTCTTGGCGCTAATAATAAATGTAGGCATCCAGAGTCAACATTTATAGATACTTAAATCCCTTTTAATGTGAATGTGACAATGAACAGCTTCAAATTTATTATATGGGAACGTTTCTTACACAAATTCAAAAAGATAGTTATTACGAAACAAATTCAGAGTGACATCGTGTAACGGTATGGCAGATGTATGCAGTTGCCATCTTCAGTAACATTCTTTAACGAGTCGTGTGCCTGATGTAAAAAACTAATCTTACACAAATCTAACGGATCATTTAGCTATAAATCTTCATTTTTTATCAATTAAATATTTTCCCGTAAGATAAATATGTTAACATGGAGACATTGTTTTAGATTCGTAAAGATTGTTTTATTGCATTTATCGAAGATAGGAACGATATACTTGTGTATGACTGACATTAAAATTTTGTTGTTTTAGGACATTTCAACCCAAATTACAAACTAACCATTGGTGTCGACTTTGCTTTGAAATCAATAGAATGGGATACAGATACAAAAGTGAATTTACAATTATGGTAAGGCAGCTATATGTACATTTTTGTTCTATCTTAATGTTATAGATGTATGGCAATTTAAATAGGAGGTCCATTTAAAGCAAGAAGCGTCTAAATAAAATAGATTCGATTGCTCTTTAAAGCAACATGCCCCAAATTCATGCGTATTTTCATGAAAATGTTGGTAATGTATTAAAAAGTAAATTATTGCAAAGTGAACAACAAAAATAATTTTCACATTGCAAACAGCATTTACAATTCGAGTAAAGTACCAAAACAAGGCCAAAATATGTAACAATAGTCCTTATAGCATTAATAACGCAGTAGAAATATGGTGAAAAATACTGCAAAATCGGTTATAAATCACACATTAAAAGGAAATTATTATTTCTATTTTGAATCTTTTTCAATGTTCTTAAAATCATAGTACTTTTTTTCTCACGTTTGATTTTCTTGAAATATTTTAGAGTGATAACGAAACCAACTTTAGTCATATTTAATCTTAATATTGAAATAATGATAACGAAGGGCCTTACAATATGTTTTTACCGCGATGAAGTGTGGGAAGTATTTGAAATAAGGATAATTTCTATTGTTTAAAAGGAAAAAATCTTCTGATAGCATGATACTTGTGACTTTCCAAATTTTTAAGCATATTATGTAACATTCACTCGGGCTTTTCTTCTCCCTGTCTTTTCTTTAGTTATGGTTGATATGCATTATTTGAACCGGAAATGATTTAAAATAAAAAAGTAATTTTAAATGATTAGTTATAAGGTTTATTAATCACTTTTGCAAAACTTTTTGACGGATGAATTTGTCTTTGTTTATCATTTAAAACAACAAAATAAGATCATTGAATTCATTTGCATTCTATTTAAATTACTGCAGTAACAACATATGTTCATTCTAAATATAAAAACTTCTTTCAATTTGTAGTTTAATTTAATGCTTAAAGCATAGTTATATCATTTTAATTCTAATTGATTTTATATTTTAACTTCAGGGATATAGCTGGACACGAGCGGTTTGGTCACATGACAAGGGTTTACTACAAATACGCGTAAGTTTTGATTATAGCTACTTAAAAGTAACCGTATGAATTACATTCTTTGAAGCGTCACACATGCTTCTTGTCTTAAATTTAAATACCTTATAGACGTATATGTGCGTAAGACAGCTGGCAAATATATCACAATACAGATTAGAGAGTATATCTTATCTATAATGCATTTTACACAACAATATATTTTTATTGTTATACATTGACGAAAATTCATGAAGTTACAATCTTTTTTTTTCAGAATAGCTGCAATAATTGTATTTGACTTATCAAGGTAAGATAGTGTTTATCTAAAAACGAAATATATCAAACATGTTTAACTTAATAATTTTATAACCATTATTTATAGTAAAAATAAGCAGTCAACTTCTTTTTAAAACGTTCCCTTTAATATTTCAAAGTGTTGGCTGAACAGCCTTCTTCAGGGTACATAAATAACTATTATAAGTTTTGATTATAGATTATTATCAGTCATTATTTACAAGTCTTTTTCAGACTTTGCGAACTTAAATGTCCATTATGCCTCATTAATGCTATCATTTGTTTTATTTCTTAATAACTTTTTATTTTAAGTATCTTGTAAAGTAGATATATTTTGCTATGTTAGTATAATAATTCGGAATCAATATTTTGTATGAAAATAAAAATAATACAAGATTATTTACAATCTGCTGCCTTCACAACACATTACTGCACATTTAGCGCTACTTCCTTTACCATTATTTTAACGTTATTAAACACTTGTTTGACAGTTTGAAAGAATTATAGAAATATGTATTTCTGAGGCAAAATGTGCCTTTAAGGAATGAAAATAACATAGAATAACAATTTGTGTTCTGGATGTTGATGTTAAAATCTTACCCCGGCATTAGTTTGATAATTTCATTCTATTTTTCCTTAGAATGATTCTGATTGTGTCTTAGTCAACCTGCTGTTTGTAAACAATGTTTACGGCTTCAAAAAAGTACATAATATATTTTTTCCGTATCATGTCAGATAAAAGTGTTCAGTTATAGCTTTGTAAAAAAATATCATGGAACACATTATTTCTTGCATTTCAGACCAGCAACTTTCGACTCTATACCAAAGGTATGTTTTGTTCATGTATAAATCTCTTATTTTTCAATGTTTTTAAAATATATACGTTTCTTTCCACCACTTTCTGTTGAAGTCATATTATTTTACGCATATTTTAGTAACAATTGTTATTGTCTGTCTTATAATTATGCACTAAGTTTAAGAGTATATTAACATATTAGCAAGCTTTAAAACTTCGTGTTTTGCGCATTTTTGAAACATTTCTATTTCCATCTTGAAACTATTTTATGTTAAAATCTCTTATTCCGAAACACTGGCTATATGATGCGTTATAAAATCATGACGTAATGAATGTTTTCTATCTTGATTATGATATCTTTAATATACTACCAATATATATGATTAATTTACAGTGGTTGAATGATGTAAATTCTAAAGTTATGTTGTCAAATGAGGATCCTGTTCCAGTCATACTACTAGCTAACAAGGTAATACAGAAAACCAACACGAGTATGCACATTTAATTAAAAGGTTAAGTTAGACTCAGATCTAATATTACAGTTACAATGTGTTATAACGGGGGACTCGTTTATAAAACATTGATTGTAATCAATAATGGCCGCCACCGATCCCGCGTTTAAAAGTATGTGACGCATGTCTTACTGTGGTAATTTTAGTTTATCTGTTTGATGACAATTGTAGAAACTGAATAATCAGGTTATACAAGGGGTTGATCTTGATGTGTGACAATACAAATATTTTATCATTTTTTGATATCTTAAATTAAATATGTAATTTTTTTTTGTAAAGTAATTTGAAAAGAAACTGTATTTGTGTCGTTATGAATTGCAAACATTAACACTTCCTTTTTCATGTTAGAGCTTTCGTCTCTGACTAATTGTCACGCATTTCCATTTGATCAAATGCCGCAAAGAACATTAAACGTGTTCATGTGAGAAAGCTATCAAGCTTTCGTATGGAAGTCCAGGTCGGTGGTTGTATCCAGAGAACATATATTAGAAATATTCCACAGAAGGGAACTTGCGACCTTCTTTAACCTGGAAAACCGTCCTTTCACATAAATTACAGTTCTTGTGTGAAGCTGTGAATTATTATTTAATGTTGCACCGAGCATGAAAGCATGAAAATGGTGAATTGTTTGCACGTTCATAGCATTATTTAGCATGTACTGAGGTGGCAGTGACATATGTATTACTTAAATCGGAGCATTTGTTTAAGCATTGTTAAAATAAGAAATGGCTTGTTTCAAGGCAATTGACAATTCATTAATCTTCTCTACTCTGTTTACACTTCTTTTACCTACTACATTGTGGTATTTTAATATCATATATATGACACACATAGCAATTGATTTAGTAAATATTGAAGGAAGAAAGTGGCAATTGACTTCGTGTGTATTGTTTACACATACACTAAGCCAACAAGACCTTTCAAATGGATTTTGTGTTTTATATTTATGTTACTGCTTTCAGTGTGATGTTGAAGATGTTACAATAGATGAAAAGAAAATAAGTGACTTTTGTCAAGCTCATAATATTGTTAAGTGGTATCAGACATCTGCAAAGGATAATGTTAATATAGGTAAGTCGTTTCCCGTTTACTCAAACCAATCTTATAAAGACTATTATAATTTTATACTGTTTGTTTTATTATTATTCTTGTCTTATGTATTCATTTAACAAAAAAGGCAGTGACCCTCCGTTGCCCATTGTTAATAATGCTGACTTTAAATCACTTTGTCCCTACCACTGAAGGTTTGAAGCACTTGAAAGATTCTTTTATATAGGGGAATAATCAACCTCAGGTTTCCTGATTTTTTCCCAAACTAGTAATACTAAAAAGTCACCGTATACTATTTACACTGTGTACGTTAAACAAAGCAAAACGAACTAGCTTATTATAAGAATATTCAGAAAACCGTAACTTTTCTTTTCCCTTAACATTTTTGTCATATAAATGTATTACAGATGAAGCTATGAAGTTGTTGATAGATTATATCTTAAAGTTACCGGCAGAAAATCAGCAACCAGAAGAACACATTACACTCCCAAGCCGCAGACATAGCAATACAAACCCCGGTAATACGTATGAGGAATCATTTGAAGAAGACGATACCGGCAGACAAAAACAGTCCCAGTGTTGCAGTTGATACTGTTTTTAATGTTAGTAGTAACTATATAGACTGAAAAGGTCTGATTGTTTTGGCCCCCTTAAACTAAAAAACGGACGCAATCTTAGAAACGCCTTTCGAGAAATAAGAGGATCGTTTTAATCATAACTTCTTTTACCTTTCCTACAGATGTTACTATATTGCTAATTTATTAAGTTAATTGTTAAAATGATGTACACATCAAAAAGAAAAACAATCACCACTTAACAATCACCACTTCAAATTAGTTATTCCAATAATGCTGTATTGTTGTGGAATGCAATTAAATAAAAGTAAAAAGGTTTGGATGCTCACTATATGAGCCGTGTCATGACAAAACCAACATAATGGGTTTGCGACTAGCATGGATCCAGACCAGCCTGCGCATCCGCGCAGTCTGATCAGGATCCATGCTGTTCGCTATCAGTTTCTCTACTTGTAATAGAGTTTTTAAGCGAACAGCATTGATCCTGATCAGACTGCGCGGATGAGCAGGCTGGTCTGGATCCATGCTGGTCGCAAACCCATTATGTTGGTTTTGTCATGGCGCGGCTCATATCTTAAATATATCGCCTGTGGGCCAGATGGAACAAGTCTTTGCCACCAGTAGAGTGCTAGGCAAGTTTGTGCTTCCTGGCTTTCTGACAAATCCCTATACTATTGTTAGCTCATGTTTTGTATTGAAATTTTGACGACCAATAATCTTTGTATGTATTAGTCCTAATTTCAAAAATGGACAGATTAAGGGTAAATACAATTAGAAAGCTATCTTCATGTTTTAACTAAGCTCTATGATTTCATTTTATTGTGTTAAATTTAGTTTCGTAAGTATATATTTTAATAGAAAATATGTTCAGACATGATTACGTAATAACCGATTTTCATATTTTGTAGTTTTTATTGTTGTCAAGTAATTTGTTGCCTGAATACAAATAAATAATTTGTGTCGAATGTAAATCACATGTGTTTTTAGGTATATAGTTAAAGTAGAATGAAATATCTATAACAGAAATTAATAAATCAATGGTCCTTTTGCTCCTTTTGTATGGATTTCAATGCTTTGCTTATACAATTAAACATTACTTGTTTTTCATTTCTTTTGATAATAATTTCCATTTGACCTGACAGTGTTTTATCAGATGTGGCAATGATTTCATTACTGTCGTATTCAGACACTTTATTTGTATACATGATTTAAAATTATAGTTTAACGTATCAATATTGTACTTGAGCTTGTACATTTGGAAATATCATACAATTTGCAAACGAAACTGAATGTTGTTTTGCTATTTCTTTAGCCAGTTTTCGTCTCATAGATGTTATTTTACAAAAGTTTTATTGTCTTCTTCTGAGAATTTAGTTATTTGTACCCGTCTTAAAAATGAAATATATTAATATATTTATGTATATAATTACGAGATCTCAGATTGTCTCTAAAGCAAGATGTCTTAATATATTACCAAGTGTTTTTCTCTCATTCTGTTAGGCTGTATATAAATTATGTAAATGCATTATGTGCAATGTTTCAAATAAAAGTGTTTTACAAACATATTTTGATGCTTGTGTTTTGATGTGAAACATTTCAAATGACTGCAGTTATTATCGAGAAAAAGGTTGAGGCTGGATAAATAATGCAAGGTGTAATATGTCAATCGTCTATTGCATTTGTGTTCTATAAACAATTGTGTTATAAGTTACACATTGCAACCATGATGTGTCGTAGAACCAAATTTTGAAACTAACAAAATGGATGCTCACGCGTCGGATGGATAGATGATCAAAGTAGGAATTGCTAAGAAATCTCGTAGAAATAAAAATGTATATAAGATCAGATTTTTTTGTATAAATGTATAATATGATGAAAACAAATATTTAGATCTACATATCTACACTATTATACAAATTCTACAAAGATACTTGCTACGCTAGGTCTTATACTTTACTCAATTCTGTCATGGATAACATATTCTTCACAATCATCACATCAAATGGAAAGAAAAACATTCACGTCATTTTTTTTATTTATATGAATATCACTTTTTATGGTAGCAATCAAACGAGATAAATGTTCAGCATTAAAACTGAGCATTTAATTAAATCAATGATATAGGCAGGAACAAGTATGTATCAAATTGATGTTTTAACTAACATAAATTCACAGAGCTCCACCAATTTGTTGAACGGATTTAAACAAATGTTTATACTTAAAGCAGCATAGGTCAAATATAACAAAATATAGGATATAAAGTATCTACAAGAATTTTAACAAACGTTTGAATACATAACTAGTGTTACACTGATCAAATGATATGTGGAAATAAAATGTTATCATCGAAGTGTCATAAATAGGATTATTTGTGTTTGATTTGCTGAATATCATTCAATCCAAAGACTCATCCTTCTCGTCGTCCAGCATATCAAGAAGGTTAAACATGAAATCCTCAGATGCCCGGAGGATCTGCTGCAGTGAATGAAGCGCTAGTAAACTTACATCATCCCTCACGTTGATTTCCTTTTCATAATTTTTAACTGGTAGCACATGGCTCCTTGGTACACCAAAAATATTAGAAACCGTATCAACAAGCTCTTGAACTGCAACACTCTGAAACACTTTGGACACATCTTCTTCTACATTAGAACAAACTTTGTCGATTTTTGTTACCAAGACTACTTGTGGTAAACCTAAAGTTAATCCATAACAAAAGCATGATTATGAAATTCATCACAAGACATTCAATAAATCAACTATCTGGGTTGAAATTGAGCTATATGTTAATAAAGTCCTTCAAGGGTAGTATAATTTGTAATATGAACCCAGGAGTTTGCAATTAAACCTTCACGACTGCTTTTACCATGAGGTCACACAACGGCAAGATAACAATTTGACCAAAATTTAAAGAAAATCATTCAGTGGGTTAAGAGTTATGAAGCTGACACAAATTTGTTTGACAGCTGGCCTTCCAAATGTAAATTAAATCATGACCGGGACAGTGGGAGCATAAATTCTGCAAATCGCCTTTAGTTATTATGGAGAGCATTCAAGTAAAGCTTGATGTAAATCCTTCAAGAATAAAGCTAGAGTTATACAGCGGTTACGAAATTGCTTGATACTTGACCTTCAGAAATGCTCTAGAAAATAAGACGGTACAGCGGCAGCAGAGTCAAATTTGGAGAAAATACTTCAAGGAGCTATACAGCGAATAAGTTAGGCACGGGAGGCCAGACCAACCAAGGGACATTCCAACGCGACACAACAATTCCAGAATACACCTTCAACGTTTTCGGTGGGATATAATTAAGCAACATTGTCTTAGCAACTAAAGATCTTTTTAATCAAGACTTTTACGAAGATGCTTTGCCCGACATATGAAAATCCATAGTATTTTAAATTTTAGTATGAAAAAAAGCCAAATGACAAGAAAAGGAATATTGGTCGACCAGTGGAATGCGTAAAATGATACACATTTAAAGCTGTGTGAAACTAGGTTTTAAGTATTTTTAATCTATCGCTTTCGAAATATGCTTGTATTAATCAGCTACTAGAATTAAATTATTTTTGAAATGCATTTAGTATATGGATAATCATAAAATTGCAAAGGTGACCATACCATTTTCGATTATTTACAATAAAAGATATTACCACACATTAATTTTACACGTAAAAATGGAAATCGTACCTTTTTGTCGAACTTTACTCTGGAGGGCCTTAATCTTTTCTAACATTTTCTCTGACATTACTGACGCTGTGCTACCATCTATTATGAAGCAAACACAATGCATTTTGTGGTTTAATGTCGGTGAGGCGACAAATCCAGTTGTGTCTGGAGTAATCGGTGTTGATGGATTAAACTGAAATAAATACATATTGATAAACTATAGCAGCAACAACATATGCAATAACAACAGTCGTGTAAATAAACCGATATCTTTGAAAATAAATACTCATGACTTGTTGCTGAGATAATATGCCCAATCTTTGAAATTAACAATTATGGCAAGATGTATTTTTAAAAAGACACCATGTAATCATTCAAAATTACCAGAATATAAGCAGCAGAATATAATCTATTTATTTGTACGTACAGATATATATTTGATTAAAAATTTATCCAACCTGGTATCCATTTGGAACATTTCCTTCAAAAAGGTAATTGAGCTCCGCACCATCCATACCTTGATTTTCTTCAATGCCTCTGGTGTCACACAGCCTAAATTTCATAGTTTTTGTCAGAGCGGACCCTCGTACACGATACATGCGGTACTGTTGATAAATAGTTAGAAGGGATAATTAAACTTGCTACATAAAAGATACTGCATGGGTAAGTGTTAAAGGGAGACACAGGCAAAATTTTCATTTTCTTCGTTTTGAATTTTTCATTCATTATTCTGTAAATGTCTTCAAAATGAATATATTAGACAGTAAAAGGAACAATTCTTTTCTCCATATAAAAAATAAAATTATGGTTTCCTAACTTGACCCGCATTGGTCAGGTTAGAGCGCTAGCATTTCACAATAGTTGTCAAAGTGAACTCTGGAAACGTAAAAGAACATGTCAAATGAATGACTTAGGCTTGTTTCAATCATACAATATCCACAATATATGTTAGCGTAACTTCAAGGGTTTGTTCAAGTCACCTGACTTGTATTAAAACTATTTGGTGATTCTATTTGCGTCTAAATTTTGTTCAACATTTATAAATATATTTACGCTTTAAACAGAAATTCATGCTGAAACTTCAAGAAAAGTCATTTTAGCGTGATTTGAGTACATAAGTTCATTTGAATATGTTTGTCATTATTTTGCCTGAATATCCCTTTAACCAAAAAGAAAGACATTTCTCCCACTCTGCTCACGGCATTGTCGGATATTGGTCAGAACAGTTGCGGTTATATTGTACACAATCTTGATTGTAAAGTTTTTTTAACTTTGTTGTTATCGAAAATTTAAGGTTTTTTGTGTGTGTTTTTAAGTAAAAAAAGTAAGTGTATTATGATTGTTTACAGCTTTTATTTAAATCGATTGAAAGGAATTATATTTTAACTGTTTTGGAACGTACTGATCATGCATACCGTTGATGTAATACTCTGCTCCGCACTACCGCAAACAGCCTGTCCAGTCACATGACCTCGAAAGATTGAGGAAATTGTATTGAAGAAACTTGATTTTCCAGCACCAACCGGTCCAAGGAAGAGAATGTTTGCAGTTTTCAATCCAGTCCCATGAGGTGGGGACCACGCATCGATTTCGTTCTTCAAATCTTCTAAATTCTGATTAAGGCACATACAAAAAGCTAATATGAAAGACAACGATACAAATGCAAATTGTGAATTCAACAATTTCATGAACTATTTTATAAACAACGGCATATGCTTTTTTGTTTGTTGTTGTTGTTTTGTATGTTTTGTAACAATATTATGCATTAGATACACAAGGCTTTATGTTTGAGCAAACAAAAGTTGAATCCAATATGAATTGAAAATAGTAAAAAACAACAATAAATAAAGCGTATTAACGTCGATCAAGTTGCGTAGGAATAAAGTTTCGTTTGATAGCATTGCAATTTTCATTTATGTATGGAGTTATCTGTCGTTCATGCGGCCTAAGTACCAAAGTTATAACAAAAGTAATGCAAAGGTGAGACTATATATGACAGAATGTAAACTTGTTTGAGTAATCGAAAGTATTCTTTCAATTAGGGTAGTAACCAAATCAAGAAACCTGTTTGAAATCATTTTATCTTAATTATTCTTATGATATTATATGACCTCCAAAGTGGAGGCATTTAAACTTTTAGTGCATAATTCATAAAACTAGGTCTACTAGGCAATGCTATATGCAAAATATAGAGGTATAGAATAATCTACAGAAAAGATAACATGTGTTTTCATTTACCTAAGTCTATATAAAGCAAGTGATTCGGGGGGTAGGACTTATTTTAGGGGTTATAAATAATATAACTTTTGTGGAATTCAAATCTACAAATTGATGTTATTTTCCGAATAGCTAAGCTGTGGGCTTTGTAGTTTCACACAATAAGACTTAAATGTGTGTTACTATATAACTTAATATACATCAAGTGACCCCCAGGACAGGCCAATTTGGACCCAATGAGCATGATTAATATCATTTTTGCAGAGGTTCATATGGTAATGCTACATGCTAGATATATATGCTCCTAGCATTTAGTTTAACAAAATAAGACTGAAACGTTTTTTCCTGAGTAAGACTATATAAATCAAGTAATCCCCAGATATGGCGGGCCAGTTTCGATCTCATGAAGCCCACGCCTACGTTCTGCACATTGTCGTATCATAAGTTTTATTTCTGTCAAATTGTTTTAATTTCTTTCTATCGGTTTAAAGGCTTCTGAGAAAACACACATCATCTGGTCATAATCTATGTCTTAGATAAAGAATAAGAGGTAAATGATGTTTGCAAAGCAAATAAAAGTATACCTGATGATTCCAACCTCCGAGCTCTCTCCAGGGTGGTAATAAAGATGTATCTGTGTAATTTAAAACTATATGTGTTAGAATATCTGTCTATAATAAACGAATTATATAAATAATTACATAATAACTAAGTAAATTAAAATCATTTCTTTGATTTATTTACATAATAAGTGAGAATATCTTATTTGCAAATTATGATTATTATAGATACTTATAATAATTTCTTAGAAAAAAATAGTACATAAAAATACATATTTATATATTTGAAAAGACAAAAATACCATAGAAATCATAATTTGATCGGACACTTACCAGACACGCTGTAAACCTCCAAGTCTGTGACTGTTTTGATGTTGTTACAAAACTGCTCAATAGAACATGAACCCATGTCATAGGCACTGCCAAAGTTAAATTCTCCATTTAAAGTGAACTGGTTGTTTTCAACGAGAATGGTTCCACTAAAGGTGTTCACGTCATATCCCCCAGCAATTCTGTGAACAACAAGACGACCTCGAATACGTGGAACCGACTTCTCTTCATATCTCCCTCCAAATATCGGTCCATTGTTGTATGAGCAGTAAATGGCATTATCTGGATTTTTCACTGGAAATTTCATTGAATTACTTTTGCCTTTTTGATAAAGCCGAAAAAGAAAAGCCTGATCATCTTTAAAAAATGACTCGCAATTTGATGTCCAGCTTTTCTCTGTGAATCCTCCGTAAACTGTACATTGAGTGTCATAAATGACAGTCACTGTTGGACCTTTCTCGTCGCAAAGTTCATGGAAAATTGATACATCTGCACCATCCCTAGTAAAGCTGTATAACAAACCAAACTGTTTTGGACCCGCTTGTATATAATGCTCTAGTTGCTTTTTGTCAGCAATAGAAAGTTTCCCTGTCATTTTCCTTCCTGCAAGATTGATATCTAACATTTAACTAATTTATTTGTACTATCAAACAAACATACAATTTCAGATGAACAGAAATACTAAAGTAGTTTCGCAAGTATTGTTTAATAACAAGTTTCTGCTAGAAAAAAAACTGCTTAACTTTGTTGATGGAATAGACAGACTGTAACGAAGCATTATGTGATGCAAAATGTAATATTTTTTTTAAGTTATGAATTTGAGTATTTGTATAGATGCCAGTCTGTATTCACTATTCAGTACCAAACGTTTTTTTACGTCAATCTTTATTCACTAAGTAAAAATAGCATAAAAATACAACAAAAACCTACGCCGGAGCGGGCAACGATCGACGTTTATTTTTTTAAAAGAAAACAAAATAATGGTAAAAGAACATTAAAGAAAAAAGATATGAATTTATTTATAATAGGTCTGTCTAGTCGCAGGTCTTTTTTCTCGAAGTATGAATCATTTATAGATAAATGACATATAATATCTAATAATACAACTTGTTTGATTAGTCACAAGTGTTGTTATGTTCAAGTATAATCTAATCCATACAAAAATAACAAAATTATGACAACTAAATCAAAATTATATTATTTGTCCGTGACGGTCAAGGTCATTTAAAGCTCAAGGTTAAGTCAGTTCAACGTTTCAGGACGACTAAATATGAAGTTAATCCATTTATAAACAATAAAATCATAGCCAGTTACAGAAAAAAAACACGATGATAATACAAATGCATTAGTTTGAACTCGATGGTCAATGTCAATTAAATGTCAAGGTCAAATGCAAAATATTCATTATATTTGTATGAAAGCAAGTCTTGTTTCATTTTCTGGTTTAAATTAAATATGTACATAAATAACAAAATAATGGCAATTTAAGTAGAATTCAATAATTTGAAGTTCATTTAAAGCTCAAGGTCAAAGTCAGTTCAGCCATTTAGTAGGTTTTGTCCGAAAGGTTGTTTTGTTAAAGTGTGAAGTTAATCTATATATATACTAATAACCAAGATATAGCCAATTATATAGAAAATCTGTGAAAATTAATAATTAAACATTCAAGGTCAATGTCATACAGGAGTCAAAGTCAGTTTGAGTTTTATATGCACAAAAGTCGTGACATTACTGACTTTGTAAAAGTATGAACAAGATAATTCATTAATAAATTACAAAGTTTTAGTTACTCACAACAAAAATCAGTGAAATTTCAAAAAATGTTACCTTCAAGGTCAAGGTTATATTGAGCCTAGATCAAATAAAGCTTAATATACATAAAAGGTCTTATCCTAGAAAGAACGTTTAATCTTAATATGGAATTCATAAATAACCAAGTTATAGCTAGTTACATAAAATTCAAACACGATTCACATTATTACATGGTATATGCATGGCATAAAAATGGAAAGATACATATCATATGAAATCAGATATGACGTAAAAAAATTAAATGACGTCAGAAAAATAACTTCTTCGCTTAATAAAATTCAGTTGTTTTTCTTGACAATTTTAATGGAAATAAATATTATTTTTCTAACGTAACAGTAAAATAATGCACTGTTGATCATTCCAATGTTTGGTATTAAATTACTTACGCCTACAAGTCTTAGTTATTACATTTCTGCACATTTGAACTCGAAGGTGCATTATCCTACAAGAAATCACTCAAAATTTATACTTATTTCCTAAATATTAGATATTAGAATATATTTTCAAGGAACATGTATGACTTACGCACTTCAAGCTGCTTTTATTTTTAAAAGAAAGTCAAAAAAACTACGCACTTCAAGCTGCTTTTATTTTTAAAAGAAAGTCAAAAAACTATTAGTTCCCTTACATTATAACATTAATGATATGAGGTTAGTTAATAGAAAAAAATGTATGAATGTAAAAAAGACACCATTATTATTTTTATACCAGTGCCTGCTTAATCATTCTGTCATTCATCAATATTTCACACGATGATTACTTATTGCAGGTTAAGACACAAGTGATTTTGTTTTTATCCCCATTACGAAGAATCTGTCTTAAGACTAAAGTTAGGACTATATCTAAATGCAAGAGTAAGGAGTATTTCTTGAAACGCTCATGTGTTTAAGACTTACGATTCTTTATTAAACGCATCTTTGGTTCATGTACGTGACACTGCTTCTCATAGTGGTGAACATTTCGATGACATTTTATTACAATCGCTCAAGCAATGAAGGAGACATGCTCTGGACAAAAACTTTACCTTTTATCATATTAAGGGATTGTGTCATTGCCAATATTAAACTAAATTACATGTTTCACACCCGTAGTAAATGTAATGACCATTTGTGTTTCAATCTCTAAATAAAAATAAATGACGACTAAATGGTCCAAATACATATTTTCATTTTTTATCTGAACTTTGACCACTATTTGTGACATTGCCTTTGGTTACAGGGCCCCCATTTTGCATTCGACACGCCGCCATAAAATGGTAAACATTTGTGCCAAAATATAGTGAATCCCTTGACACATGTAGGAGTTGTGCTCCGAACAAGCGTTTTTCAATGACCTCAACTTTTGACCTAGATACCTGGTCTATGCGTGCGGCACAGCTTCCCATAGTGGATAGGATTTCTATGAAGTTTCATATGAATCCTTCCATGCATGTAGGATATGCTCTTGACAAAATATCTATATTTTATCATTTTCAGTGACCTTGTCCTTGCATATAGTAATAAGCTAAATTACATGTTTCACCCGTAGCCATGAAAATGACCATTAGTGTTTCAACCCTCAATAAATGATGACTTAATGGTCCGAATACATATTTTCATATTTCAATCTGAAATTTGACCCCTATGTGTGACCTTGACCTTTGACATAGAGACCTTTGACCTGGTTCATGCGCGCATAGTGGTGAACATTCTATGATTTCATTAAATTTCCTCCATGCTAGTAGGTGATATGCTCCGGGCAATATTGAACGCCGCCCGCCCGCTCTTCCGTCTGCCAGGGGCGAAACTATAATACGACCCGTTCTTCAAACGGGCGTATAAAATCTATATAAATTTGCTTCATGCGTGTTTCCTGTGATATTGAATAACCACTGTAACAAGTCTAGTCTTATTTCTTTCTTTCTTTCTTTCTTTATTTCACGAAGTGTTTGTTGCAGTTAAGTTTCTTTCAACCAGATGTTATCGTTAATTTTGTTACTGACCCGGGATTTATTTTCGTTAAACTATTTGGGTTAGAATCATTCGCTTTTTATAAAATATGTGTGTTTTTCATGAAATCTTGTGCTATTTATATAAATGGACTGTGCAACAGTCATCCTCTGTAATTAGCATAGTTAATCAGAAGCAATATATTAATAATAATTATTAATGATCATCATTAAGTACAGTCTGTGATAAACATAAAATAAATAAATATAATAAAAAAGTATGTACTTAGTAACTTTTAATTTACTTGCAAACCAAAAAAAAATCTACAGTTAATGAAACAATTTATCTTTGTAACAAAACATAGGATAAAACAATTATGGATTTACTAGTCATTAAGTATGATGAGATGTTCACCCCTCAATAATGCCTTCAGCTGGCAAATATCACATCTAATTTATGAAATCAGTTCTTCAAAAATACTTATGATAAAGAGTGTGAATAGATACATATTAAGGCATCATTAACGACTCTCAAAAAAGAACATAGAAATTCTCAATTCAACAGGAAACCTTATTCATCATAGTGCATTGGTAATGGACATAATAAAAATTTGGATGCAATAAAATTTTTATACGAAAATAAATTTAAATATGGGATTACATTTGAATGCTCTATACAATTGCCATTCCAACAATAAACTATGAAAGTACTTGAAATTGCACACATAATTCCAATATTGCTATAATATTAACCAAAGTGCTATAATATTAACCCAAGTCCAACAAGAGCTGTATGTAAGACAGCGTGCTTGACTTATCTCAGTGCTGAATAGTAAAACATACTTCTGAGGAAGTGTAAACTGATAATTATCCAAATGAAAGTAAAGTTCAACTTTTCCTTTTATGATAGCTGGATCACTTAAGTCACATTGGCTTCTTTTCTTTTCTTACCATTTCCGTGTTCATTCTCTTTAAATATTGAACAAAGCCATATAGCTCTTATGCCCATCAAACTGCTACTGAAGTACAGTTTGCTGAAGGAACAAAATCACCTGTGTATACATACATATTTCATTCATAGTAGCATATTAGCATAAGAAGTTAAGCAATTGCAGATATCCCTATTCATTAAACATGGTAATGATTCAAATTTTGGGGAAAAAGTTTTTGAAATTGTGATTAAGAACACAAAATCACATAAAACTGGAATACAAGCGGTAGCATTCTTTTTCTGAAAGGACAATGTTAGTGTGGATATTTATTTTCTTAGATAGATCAATTCGATTCTTTCCTTTAAATAAAGTCTTGATTCATAACTCGCAAAAGAGATCTTTGTGTACTGAAACTGACATCAACAAAAACAAGCATAAAAGTCTGATAGGCAAATCGCATACACATGAACAAGTCAATGCAATTTTATGAAGGAAGTTTGAAGCACTCTTCACCAGTGGTGTGAATAGTGCAAAATGTCATTTTATAATGTGATGCCAGTGACTCCATTTTTCAATGAGCATGTGCATCAACCAAAATTTTGTGACTTATTATTACAATATTACATAATTGATCAATAGAAATTTAGCATTATAAACAGAAGTGAGTCATAATAATTAAAAAAAATTGAAAATTTGTTTTAACCAACCTGTGAATATGCCTTTGTATAATCTAGGTCTGCAAGGTAATACAAACCAATCAACACAGCTATAGCCTCTATTGAATCGGCTGTCTCTAGAAGAATATGTGTACCATCACAAACAATAGCCATGTTCACAATACATTCATCTTTCTCAATTGCAACCAACTTTGGTGCCGACTCTGGTGCAGAAAAAAAAAGTATCACAAGATTCCCATCATCTTCAAGCTGAAACAAATATTGATAATTTTAATACATCAGTTTTAAAAAAACTGTTAGCATTTGTATAAACCTTAGATATCATTCAATGTTAAAAGCATTTTTGGCGTTATCATCAAGTGAGAACTACCATGGAAATTATTTATTCTTTGTTAGAATAGTTTACCTACATAAATCTGTTTTGAAATAAAACTCGCATTAATTATTTATCAAACAAGTGTGCATGCCAAATATGACATGCTGATAATTATGGAAATAAGATGTTAAGGTATACTCCCTTCAAAGTTTTGATGTTAAATATGTACAGTAACACAGATGTACAGACATGCCAATCACTGAATCACAGCTGGTCACATAAAAAAGAAGTTTTAGGACATTAAAAGATTTGAATATCTAACACCCTTACCTTAATTATTTGCATCAAAGGCTGAGTCTTCTGGCCCTTTCCTTTTCTGTAAGCTCTTTCTGATTCTAAAGCCTTCAGCACTGCCACATTAGAGTCATCCTGAAAGCAAAATTATGAACAGACTAACAGAAAGGTGCAAAACTTCAGATGAATAAGCCCCGCCCATTTTTAACGGACTTTTTTCAATTACTTATATTCTCATTTTTCTACAATGTAATCTCATACCCTTATACAAGTCTTGAATCAAGATGCGATATTTATTTATTTATTTATTATTTCAATTTCGATTTCAATTACGAATAAATTAGATAGCGACTAGTTTTAACACCAACTAAAAGTGACGTCATAATTTATATTGCAAATGACATCATCAATGTTCACGTCATACTATACATGTAATCATAACAAACAGGCTAGACGATTTTCTTTTGTTATCTTTATTTTGCCGGAAAGTCTCGCCCTTTCTAGCCCTTATCAGCCTCGCCTGATAAAATTAATATCAAAAGACAGTAGCATGTTATTCTCTAGATCTATATGTTTTGACTAGATATTCTTGAAATACCAAAGTGGGTGGGGAAATCAGTTTTATGGTTAATGAAAATGCTTTTTTGCGCCCGTCTTAAAAAGATCTGCCTTTTCAACATTTGAATTTGATCTACAAATACATAAGTACATCGTACTGACCTTATGCTGTTGTTTTTCTATGTTTTCCTTGCTAAATTTACGCAAAAATGAAGAAAGGTAAAATTTGCGCCAAAAAATTCGGCTGCAGCAGGAGAAAGGAAGTTAAATTCGTAACACCTCGGATAATATCAGAAGGTGCTCTTGATCGGCACTCATGACATACGCAGAATGTTCGCCCCTGAAACACCGGCGTTTAAGACAGAGACACTTTCGCATTAAATATTTCTTAACATTCGTATTGTCTTATCCTTACTGTTATGTTTCTGTTTACTGTTATGTCTCTGTTTGATTTGTTATTAATTATCAAAACACGAGATGAGCTTATGACATAAAAGTAAACACAAACGTTTCATGTTCACACAGGCATGCCAATATTAACTCCAACCGTTTAAACACTGCACATTACTGTTCTAGTTATAAACCGTCCCGTTCCATAAATAAACGCATGTGTTTTTATACTGCAGCACACAACGAGAACACATACGTTTTGTGAACAAACACCTGTGGAACGCGTCAGGCGTTGCATTTTTTTTTACAGTGTACTAATTCGGTTCTTTGAATTACAACACATCCGAAATCAAAGTGAAGGTAGCCACGTAACAAGTAAATATAAATCCATTATAGCATTGTCGGAATACAAAATAAAATTCACAGTTATGTTGTAACCCCTGCCCCCTCCCCTTCCCCCCCGACCCTTAAAACCTTAAGACACGTCAACTCCGAAAGGTAAATACGATACATAAAGAAGGACAGAAAAACAAAAAGAAAATGAAACCGGATTACAGCTTGTTATGAGAACAATGTAGTAAACCACTTACTTTTGTCCAATATCTCAAGATTTGTGGAAGCAAACTTTATCGTTTTCTGAAAATGGTGATACATGTGCGACTTATATACCGTGAAAATCACTGGTAAACCTGGTCAAAAGCCTCTAATATTCTTTCCTTTAATAAATAATTTGAAATTTGTTGCTGCTCTAATAATTCAATAACATGTACATGTGCCTGTGTTTATTTACATTGTAATGTTATAGTTGTTAGCCTCTAATCAATCTATTTTTAGAAATCAGCATTACCGGTAAAATAAAAAAAAACCTATAAATACATGTAGACGTCTTACATGTGCATTGTGTCATAATCATGTTATCCTATGCTTAAATCCAATTTGTTTTCTTTTCACCACACATGAATTTGTTTGTAAAGGTTTTAAAATCATCACGTAAAATATTTACTGCACATGTTATCATTAAAGAACTACACAGCGATAATAGCGATATTCTGCTATAATATTTTGATAGACCAACTCAAATTATCTTGTGTTTGTATTTTTGCTTTACGCTTATTCCTGGCTTTACTCAAACTAACTTTTACCTTATGTAAAAATGCCAGTGCCTTATGTAAAGATGCAAGTCAAAAAAATGTATAACCGTATTACTTTTAATAGTTATTTAACGCATTTCCTCAGAGATGCAGTAAAAAAGCACGTTAACTATATACATGTTTACATGACTGAAAAATAACAGGGCCGGAAGTAATAGCTTCATCCTTATTTGTATGGTTATTGAATTTGAAATTTCATAACAATTAAGACCGGTATTGTTTGATTTTATTAACCTGTCAATTGCATACTGATTACACAGTCAATGCACACAATATATTAATCTTCGATAATTGATCGGTAAACTTCGTGAGATGTACTCAGTAAGATTTGATTAGTTTTTTTTCTATTAAATAGCTATACTGACCGTTATAGCGCAATAGGATAAACTTCCCATGTGTTGTAAGATCTAGACCGCGATTGTCTATGTTTTTTTTCTTATTTATATTTTCCACATTATTGAAGGTATGACTGGGGTTTTAAAGTTGTTCATTTTGTTTTTTAAATTTTTGCACTTATTTTGGCAAAGACCATACACTTTTTGAATAGCATTGATTAAGAATTAAAATTTCAATGTCATAAAACTCAATACGAAAGAGACAAATCTGTGCTTCTAAGTTGTTCCATATCCATTTAGACTATTTTACAAGCCCTATTCATGAAAACATAGTTCAAAAATAAAGAAAGAATGGGTCAAAAGAACAATGGCAAAAGTATGGATCGGACCACAGACCTCTAATACATGAGGTAATTACTCAACCGACTGTTCTATAGCGGATATGACCAGAATACAAACATTCAGATAGTGTATCTTTTCAAAACATTAGTCATATACTCCAATTTAATTCTCGTAATTTTAACGGACAGAAACGAAGTGGTATCGAATATTTAGATGAGTGCTATAATGTATTCAGAATTGACAGGTCAATAAAATCAGACTATAACAGGCAAGTTTTTTAATACATGTTGCGAGTTATGGATATACGTATTTATTTATTTTTTTTTATTTTGTCTTGTCTTTTCTAACAGACAGATTGACCGGAAAAGTTTATTATGTGTTTACATTTTTACTTTGTAATTTGTGTTATTTCTCCATCTTGAAGTTCAATCAAATAAAACTTATATTATTGACATGTAAGACATGTTATCATAAATATTTAGACTAATTTTAGTAACTATTAACTGATAAATTAAATAGAAAAGGCTTAAAATAGATAAGGCTTAAAATATTAAATGAATTAATAAGTAATAAAATGAATTAGTTCAAATTTAATAGATAAAGCCTTTTTACTACTTTAGCGATTTGTATATAGAAAGCAGTATATTATTTTGTTTAAATATACTTAGCATACTGTCTTAGATAGGTCAACTATAAGCTTGTTTTGTTTTTGTCATTTTCTGAACAAAATGTAAACAATCTGTAAATAGTGGGTGTACGTTATTCTGAACTTGTATGATAAATACAGTTTTAATTAAAAAAATTTCAAGATTACTGTCCCCTATTCCCTATATTGTCAAATATGTTCAACTTTGTTCACTTTTATTTACTTTAGTTTTTGTTTATTATTATTATGATGATGTATAGTTTTTATGTTATTTCACCGCCAAACCCTGTTAACATATCTGTTAACTCAATGTCCCCGTTTATGCTTGTCTTTTATGTACTTATGCTTTACATATATCCTAATGGGTAATGATATTATGGCATGGCGAGCATCTGTGGGGTCAGCAGTTCATACGGAAACGCTCCGTCTATTCATACAGTAGAATTAGCCGTTTTTGTATTAATAATACAATTGTTTTACTTATACTAATAATGCCATTTTTGAGCCTGTTTTTCATCACAAACCTAAAAATCTTGAAATTCGAGGATATCAGCCTCAAGCGACGCTTGCTCTTTTTAAGCTGTGTTATCTTAACGCTTTTAAAACATGTATTAGTCTTAAGGGTATAGTTACATTTATATACTTTGTGATACTCATAGGTATATATTATTTTAATACGGGGGTCAAAAAATCAACTGGTCAAACAAGTAACGTAATTTTGTTAAGTGGAAAAGGTAAAGAATACAGTTTAGTATGTTACAGTCCATTTATACTGTTGTGTTACCTATTATGTTTAATTCACTTTAGTTATTTTGCCTTTCTGGAGATGTAGAATCAAACCCAGGTCCTATTTTTAGCAAGGAAAATTATCTGTCAATTATTCACCAAAACATTATAAGCATACGCCATAAATTTGAGTATATTAAGGAAACTTTTTAGAAACTGATGTGTTATGTTTTACTGAGACCAAATTAGATTCTAATATTGAAGATAAAGAATTACAATTATCGGGTTTTGATTTCATGTTTTGTAAAGATAGGTCGTGTCGCTCGGGAGGGATTCCTGTTTACGTTTCATCTTTTCTTAGACCCAAACGAGTTATCTCCTTTGAAAATATAGTTCCTGATTCTATTTGGGTTGAAATAAAAGATAAAACTCAGACATATTTATTATGTACATTTAAAGACCTCCTCACTATAGAGTTGACTTTTGACAAAGTAAACTCGTGCTTAGAAATGGCTCTGGAACACAAACAACATTAGTAGGAGATGTAAATGAAGATCAGCTCAACATGCAAAATCATAAATTTAAAGATATACTTTTGACAAATAACATGAAAAATATTATTAATAGCCCGACTAAGGTAAACCACAATTCGCAAACTCTTCTCGACCCTATCGCATTAACAAACAATATTCAAGTTTTTGATTCAGGAGTTTTTGAAACAGATAATGAAATAAGTGACCATTATGGAATATTTGCTTATTTAAAGGTTGATTTCGATTCAAATAAAAATCTGGAAACAAAGTGATCCCTCGGAAGCATTAATCTCAACAGAATTACAAGAGAATTGCAGGCTCGGTTTGATTGAGTCTGTACATGAGGGATAATGAATACGTGCAACATCCCTCACGCCCCCTAGCACCGGCTTAAGCCATTTAAAAGGAACATTTGGAACTATAAAATGCAGATTTTGTTAAACTCAATAATTTAATAAGAGATACTGACTGGACCTTTATTAATAATTTAAATATAAATGAAGCTTGCAATACTTTTAGATTTAGTTAATCAGTGCACCCCGTAGTATTTTGCATTAATTAGGCCAAAAGATAAGCCATGGTTTAACAGTAATATTCGTAACAGTTTAAGGCAGAGAGACAGGTTATTTCACAAAGCAATAAATAGTAATAAAACATCAAATTGGACTAAATATAAACAAATTCGAAACAAAGTAAACAATATGAAGAAAAACGCAAAAGAGTTATTTTACAATAGTTTAGAATTTTCTTTGCATAATCTTAATAGCTCAAACCCTCGACAATATTGGAAAATAATTAAAATGTTAGTTAAGAATAATTCAGCTGAAAACGATTCTATACCACCTTTACACATTCTCCTTATCAGACTTAGACAAAGCCAATACTTTAAACTCTTTCTTCAGTTTAATCTCTCACTTGGATGATTCAAATACCAACTTCCAGACTTTACTTTTAAAACAAATTCAAGACTAGAAGACTTTTGTATTTGTGAACAAGAAATAAAAGATGTATTAACAAATTTAGTTATAAATAAAGCTTCTGGACCAGACGAAATAAGCCATAAACTGTTGAACGAAACTTCGGAAACCTTATGTATTCCACTGTGTATACTTTTTAATCATTCGCTATCCTAGCAGTTGGAAACTTGCACATGTTATGCCTCTTTTTAAAAAGGGTAATAAAGATGAACTATCAAATTATAGACCAATTTCATTAATAAGCTGTGTTGGTAAAGTAATGGAACGCATCATTTTCAAACATATGTATAATTATCTTCATACAAATTCTTTAATATATCAAAATCAATCCGGGTTTTTGCCAGGTCATTCTACAGAGTATCAACTTATTGATATATATAACCAAATTTGCAAAGCAGTTGACAGCAAAGAATCTACTTGTATTATTTTTTGTGACATTTCGAAAGCATTCGATAGAATTTGACATTCTGGTCTCATCTTCAAAGTAAAGCAATACGGTATACAAGGGAAACTAAATACATGGTTAAAATACTACTTAAATAACAGAACCCAAAACGTTTAGGTATCTTCGACATTTTCTTCTTTATCAACTTTAGAAGGGGGCGTTCCTCAAGGCTCGGTACTTTTATATAACATAACCTTTATGTAAGAAACGTTAAACAAGGATCTAGCGACAATAACAAGTTGGTCTAAGCAATGGTTAGTCAATTT